AACGACAGAGTCCGTCTAATACTGGTTCACGTGCTACATGACGCGTTTCGTCCTGCTCCTAGGCATCACGATAGGTTTCAGTACGCTCGCCTGCCTGTGGCTAATTTTGCGCCAGAACGCAAGCATCACACCGCCGATCGAGTGCAAGGCCAGCGAAGGTGCCGGTGAACATCCAGCATGGGACGGACGTCGCCTAGGAAGGCGTCATCACGAATCTACACAGCCGACCATTCCTGAGGATCATGATGGTGACGTTCTAATGCCACCAGCCTTTGCGAGTACGGCAACAGCCAGCACATCATCATCATCATCATCATCATCATCATCATCATCATCATCATCATCATCATCATCATCATCATCATCATCATCATCATCCTCATCCTCATCCTCATCCTCATCCTCATCCTCATCCTCATCCACATTATCATCCTCATCCTGATCCTGATCCTGATCCTGATCCTGATCCTCATCCTCATCATCATCATCATCATCATCATCATCATCAGCACCACGGCAATGCCAGCACCGAGTTCGCCATCAGTGACATCAGTACGAACTCATCGAGTGCGAGCGTGATTTCTTGGAATGGATCCACACCGGGGAGAAGTCCTCTGGAGATCAACGCCTGCGTGGCTGCAGATCACGATCTCAGGGTTGGGCATACTATTCACAGCGTGTATGTGACCTGCAAGACGGCCCGCCGACACGCATCATGGCTTCGCAGGAACCATCGGTTGCACTATCCTGGTTCCTGCAAAATGCACCACACACTGAGGTGGGATCTGCAGAACCGCTGGAGGACGATTTACTGCAAGCGATGGAAGCGCTCAAAGAAGTAAAGCTAAGAAGATTCCGTGAACGAGTCCCTCCGCTGTGTCGCATGCTCTGTTTGGCTTGGTCGCGACTCGTGATCATAGTCTACCTAAGTCCGCTTGGAAGAAGAAAGTCTCATAACTCCGCATGCACATCGCGCAAATTCATTCAGTGTGAACACGTTTATGTGTGGTGACAATCACACAGCCGCTCCGCTACCAAGCTTCCTTGTCGCATGGTGATAGGGTACCTAAGCCAGGCGCCCTCTGCCTAGCAAGAGATTTTTTTTATCTTGAAGCCCAAAGGCTTCCTGTTGCACTCGTGTCAGGCCGTTTGCCTACCCATGAGGAGAGGTGCCGAGACCGGCACTCCCGCCACGACGAATTATCTCAATAAGTCGTCACACGCTCAATTAAGCGAGCCTCGATTCAGCTGAGATCGACGCTCGGGCGCCCAAGCGCCAATCAGGAGAAGTGTGATTCGAGATCGCTCCTGGCCATCCTCTCTCGTGTCCTACTTTGCTCTTGCTACTCTCACCCACTCTACCATCGCCTATTGTGGCCCAGACGTTTGGCCTTAGAGCTACGCAGTTCTTCGAGCCGCGCTCGCAACGATGAAGATCATCTTCACTGCGTGCTATCCATATCACACCCTGGGGGCTGCGAGTTGAGACACCGTCGCACACTTTCGTGGTCTCCTGGGAGGTCCAGGGATGTGGTGACTCACGTAGGTCCAAACTTGACCTGTCCCTCTCTTGGGGGCTGCGAACTGCGGAGCTGTCGCCGCATCCATGGGCTCATGGGAGGTCCAGCGGAGTAGTGTCTTACGGTGATCCAACCTGGATATCGCCCACTCTGGGCGCTGCAAACCATGAAACAGTCGACACATTCGTGATCTCCTGGGAGGCCAAGCGAAGAGGTGTCGTACGCTGATCCAGACTAGACGTCGCCTCCTCTTCCTCCATTCTCGCTCCTCCCTCCTCCAGGCTTCCGCCTCCCTCCTGTCAAATCCTACTCCCGGGGCGTCCTCTGTCCCATTCAATCAGTTCGCCATTGATCTTTCCCTGACTTCAAGCATTCCCCTCTCCGTTTATACCTCAACTCGTGCCATTATCCTAATTAGCTCGTGTCACGTTCCCGTCCCTATTCGCCACTTGTCCCCCATCTGATCCGACCTATCTACGCCATGTAGTTCTCGTGTTCATCGTTGACCTCCCACGTTCCCCTTGCCATGCCATATTCTATAGTGCTACCTGACTCAAGCCTGCCCCGTGAGTCGTGGAACGCGTAAGCCATGCATGTAACGTTCGCAGCGACTTGCGCTCCCTGTCGCGTCATCGTCGGTAAGACTGTCCCCACCAGTTCTGCGAACTTCACCTCTTCCGTGGGCTCTCTGACCAGGAGCTCGAGGCGAGGAGAGCCGAGCCGCCGCGACGAGGGCCCTCCAGGACGAGCAGCGGCATCGGTCTCTGCTCCCCCCCTGAGCTGCAGGGCAACGAGAGGGGAGACTGGCTCAGGAGGGGGAACCTCGACCCGGAACTGGCGACACACCACCGACGGATCGGCGATAGCCCCCCCGACGGCGGATCCGCACGCTCCTGGGCGTGGTGGGGACCATTGGGCCCCTATCGGCGATGAATAGGGGGTCACATGCCACGTGCGAAGTGAACCCCATCCTCCCCCGCAGAAATCTTGGGGGGTAGGGGTAGGGTTCGCATGTGTCCCCCTGGATGAACGGACGGTTGGCGTTCGATGCATCCCCCCCCCCCCGAGCGTCGATTCTTCCTGGACCTCTCTCCGAAGTGCGCTCTGGCCAGAATGCCGAGGCGCATCCCTGCAGCGGTGACGAGGGGCGGGCAGCGGTATCGGTATCGTCTGCCTCATCTGACTGATGAGCTCCGTGGGCAAGATAGCACCGATACCGCTCCTCCCCGGATCTCTCCAGGGCTGCGTCCTGACCAGGATTTCGCGGCGAACCCAGCCGTGGTGACGAGGGGGGGGGCAGAGGTATCGGTATCTTCTGCCTCCGTATAGAAACTCACGGAACCTTGCGCGCAATATCAGGCAATAGCGCCGATCTGCAGCGAGCAAGCCCAACCCGTTGCGCTGACAAGATCTACCGGCGCCCCGCTGCGGGGCCACCAGGCTGCGAAGATGAGATGTCGTCCGTATGAAGCTCCGAGCTCTACACGGACACCTCATCACCAGCAGCATGCCGCCACTGTTGCGTGAGCATGCGAAGTCCCAAGATGATGGACAGGTCCCATGACTTCCTTGTAACTTATCACAGTGAGGGGGCCGAACAGTCATTGCCCCTGGGTGCGTGGCAGAAGTTGCGTTCCAATCAGCGGATTATGCTTGCTGTGTTGTTGTTGTTGTTGTTGTTGTTGCCATGGGCATGGAGCCGCCATGTATGGCTCTGTGGAATGCCTCCCACGACGTCAAGGATGGTATCACCTTGTTCCCGAAGCAGGATCATTGGTGGCACATGCCTGTATGGCGTTCTTTCGGGCAGTCCGAGTATGGGAATGTCATGGATTACCGTGTGGATCTGGGTATGCCGGCGCATGTCCAGGGCGTCCTGGCGGTATTGGCGCCCCACGGACGCACGGGCGATGTGTCCGCGAGGAGGCGTATCGGCACCATGCTGGGACACTTGGCCCCTGATGTATGGGTGCCAGGAGCGCAGCTTGCAGTATTGCGCCCGATGCGTGCCATTAGGGACAGGCGCATGCCAGAAGACGATGAGCACACAGACTCGTCTCTTTAGTATGCTTCCAGAGCACGTATGCGTCCGCCTCGCCTTGTCCTGCTGCTCCTCCTCCTCCTCCTCCTCCTCCGGCGGGGCACCCATGGGGACAACCATCGGGACCACCATCGGAACAACCATCGCGGCAACCATGGGGACAACCATCGGGACAACGATCGGGACAACCACAACCATCAGGACAACCATCGGGACAACCATCGGGACATCCATCGGGACAACGATCGGGACCACCATCGGGGCAACCATCGGGAGAACCATCGGAACAACAATCGGGACAATCATCGGGACACTCATCGCGACAATTATCGGGACAACCACAACCATCAGGACCTCCAACCAGAGAGAGGTAGTCACGTGTATTTCGTCGACGAGTGAGCCAGTATTGCACATTGAGGCCGGAACGAGAACCACAGAACAAGAATGAGCATATATCGTCTCACAACAACGGAAACAAGTCCTGTGGTATGCTGGCGCCACGCACGTGATACCAGTCAAAATAAGGGTCTTGGCTTGTGTGGTACAGAAACGTTAAAACGTCGGAAAACGGTACACGTGCCCATTGTTGGAACAGGGGTATAAGTCGTATACTAAGCTAGTTTCCACAAGATGTTACCACAAGAAGTCATTGTAACCATGCGCCAGTGTAGTAGCCAAGGTCGTCCGCAGGCCACGAAGTGAAGTGTCCGAACGTCATAGGGCGGGAAGCTGGGTGTGGGTGGTGGCGAAGAGTCGTTTGGAAACTTGGTAGAGCTTGAACCGGCCCCCCCACAAAGTGGGGGTATTGCCCGCCTCCTACGAAAACCCTGGCACTGGTGAGAACGGAGTGTCCCCAGTCTTAAATGATTGTTGTTGTTGTTGTTGTTGTGTCGTCGTCGTCGTCGTCGTCGTCGTCGTCGTCCTCCTCCTCCTCCTCCTCCTCCTCCTCCTCCTCCTCCTCCTCCTCCTCCTCCTCCTCCTCGCCCACGACCCCTCCGCGACCCATCCCGCGACGCACCCCGCGACCCACCCGCAAACCCGCGCCCCACCAACGTTGCTTTGACAAAAAAATCGGCGCCTGCAGCGGGTTCGTTGTGAAGCGTGCCCCAAAAAACATCAGCGCCTACAGCGGGTTTCTGCAGAGCCCCGCAGACTGCTAACGACACCGCACGCCCCCTTACTCTTACCCGCAGTGGCGGGGTGCTACGGGCGGCAACTTTTGCTTAACGTGTCGCCGCGGCGGCCCTGGCGACGTGCTATGCCTTGCAAATAAATGACGTGCCGCTCCGCTCCGCGTGGCGGGAGGCTCGGAAAGGCTCGGGACGGTGAGGACTGGGGACTGGGAAGCGGATACCGTGTCGCGCCGACGCGTGGTGGGCCAGAACCAGCGGAACGACACGCTGAGCCAAAGTTCCCGACCGCACGCGACCGATGAGCTCCGAGGGCAGGAGCGGGAAGGCCACCCCGTAGAGCCCGAGCGCGAGCAGCATGCCGTAGTGGGCGCGGAGCCTCGGGCGGCGCAGCCCGCAGGCGGCCATGAGGCAGCCCGCCAACAGCGTGCAGGCCTCGGCCACCAGGCTCGTCAGGGTGCTGGCCCCGTCCTGCGGCACCTGCCGGGGGAAGGCACATGCGGCACGGAGGAAGCCGAAAAGGAGGACAAGGAGGAGGATGAGGAGGAGGAGGAGGACTGGGAGGACTAGGAGGAGGATTGGGAGAAGGACGAGGAGGAGGACGAGGATGAGAAGAACGAGCACGAGGAGGAGCCCCGATCCCATTGGCAGGTCTGTCTGGCAGAGCTCGAGCGCGCCGCCTGCCGCCTTAGTGCCGCGTCAGGGCCCTAGCCCTGACACCCCGTCGGCAAATAAGGCGGAAACGCCCCGCAGCGATGCGCACGGCTCTTGAAGCGCTGCAAATCCTCTGAGCTCGCAGCTTGTTAGACGCGTTTAACAAAACATCGTGTGCAATGGCCAGGGACACTGCTTCGTCGCTAGAGATAGGAAGCTGGAAAAGAAGGAGCCCAGCAAACACCTCCGCCCCCCCCCCCCCCCCCCCCCGCCAACGTGGGAGCCTAGGCAGGTGAGAGCGAATCACTTCGAGGAGCACAGGACATTGAAACTAATGAGCGAATTGATCCCCGGCAAGACACTGGCAACCGAATATGCAACCTAATGTGGCTTGGCGGCATCTCCGAGAGGTGTTCCACGCATTACAGATACTCCGCGAGAGGCCCAACTGGATTAAGGGTGCAATATGTTGCCCAATCCACCCCGACCGAATAAAACAAAGCTGAGCGCCCTGCATCGCAATGGCCCCAACCTCCGGAAAACTCCGAGACCAATAACTCATGCGAGAAAATAGCACATCAAACTGGCATGGCATGTATTTCACCGACATGTATTCACAAAAAGCTTGGTCCAAACAGGGCGAAAGGGGGCATCGAGATACGCCTCGTCTTCGCCAAAGGCATCGTCGATCTTCTCGATGCAAAAGAAACAGACAGAAGATGCCAAGACCGCGCGGTGCGCCGCTGCTCTGGCCTCTCGCACGAACGAGCGGGCGCAAATCTGTTTGCCGCCCAACGAAGAGAAATTAACCAGCATGGAATCCGGGAGAGCGCACCGAGGAGCGCAGACCAGAGACTGCAGACCAATATGGACGTTCGAATCACAGTCATGATTCGGCTGACAGAACTGCGCAACAAACATCAACGCAGCGATGGCAGTCTGGTTGTACGCGCGCACAGAGGGACAAGCCTAAATTGAGAGATATGATGAACCTGCACCTGTCGCGATACTTGACATGAGGTGCTCGCCAGGGCTCGCCCTGCGCGCCGATGCCACGCATCACCCCAAGATACCGAGCACACTTCGTCATGACAGTGCTCCTCGCCTGTATCCATCTCCCCATGAACTTCCTCACCTCCTCCCCCCGATCGAACTCCCTATAAATGAGAATCACCGTCTTCTTCACATTCGGGGCAGGTCCAGCGGCGCACCCCGCGAGCATCGCCACTCGCATGAAGACTGGAAGCGCAGCGTAGATGTCGCGAGAGGCGGACGCCACATCATCCGCGAAAGCGCCGCGCAAGCTAACGGGTCTCGGGGGCCTAGGACACAGTACTCCGAGCATCGGGTCGAACCCCAACGCAAAAACACTGCCGGACATCGGGCCCCCCCTGCTTGATGCCCCTCAAAATCCTGAAGGAAACCGAAGACACACCTCCTAAAACAACGTTTGTGGTCAGCTCAGAGCACATACTCTTAATGGCGCGCAGCGCGAAGTCTGGGAAATTCATTTTCTCGAACACGAAAAAGATCCACTCGTGGTTTAGGCTCGGAAAGGCCGCTTTGATGTCCAGGAGGATAGCCCCAGCGGTGTCTCGCCATGGGACCCCAGCCCACAACCGCGCGCGCTTCGAGCTCGATGAGATTAAATAGTATGTTGCGATGTTTGACGAAACCCCTTTGGATACCAATCGTCGTGTCGACGCAGATTTCCTTGGGCCCCGTGTTGATTCCGACAGCGACAATTTTGTTGATGGCACTCGAGAGGGAGATGGGTCTCGTCATGTCGGGGGTTCCCCACAGCTCACCCCCGCCCCTGTCGAGCGAGCCCTTCGGGGGGAACGCAAAGTTGCTGGCGTTAACTACCGACGGGCGCCTGCCCGAAGTTCAGGATGCGTTCGTGCATCGAGAAGGACGCCCACCTGACAGAGTCGTTTGCTTTCGGCTAGGCAGAATAGCGCAGCCCGTCGGGGCCAGGGGCAGAATCCCGAAGCGCATCCAAAGCAGCGTAAAACTGGGTATCCGAAAACCTCCACTGAACATCTCCTTGAACCTTCTGGATGTGCTCTTCTGACTGGTCGCGGGCAGCCCTCTGCGACGGAACGCCCGCATGAACCTGGCTCCAGTGAGCCGCAAGTGCTTGAGCACCTGCTTCAACGGTCGGGTCGGCATTCCCCTCGGCATCCGCGATGCCAGCGAGGTAAATGCTGCGGTTCATAGGAGACCAAGCGGAGACCATGCGCTGGAGTCTTGCTGCCTTCTGCTCGAAGTATTGCGGGGACTCGGGGGTGTGTCCGAGTGTCCGATGATTTCGTCGTATTCGTGCTGAAATCTGACTGCAGCAATGCTCGCCACGTGGTCGTGAAACGCTTGCTGGTTGAGCCACGCGCGCGAGTCGGGCGCGAGAAACTCGCAGAGCTCCGGCAGCGCGTTGGCGGCGCGACAAACGATATGTGCAGCACCTTGGCGCATCGCACGATTCACAGCAAAGAGCCGCTGGAGATGCTGCTCAGCGGTCTCAGGGGGGAGCTCGGCAAGACGGCGCTGCACTAGACGCCCTGCTTCATGCATCAAACAGGTAAGCTCCTCCATCATCGTGGGAGGGTCAGTCTCGTTGAACCCATGCTCATCAATCAACTTCCCATGGGGGACCGGGCAAAGGGGGTGCCTAGATGCCCAGGAAGGAACAGATCGGGATTGGTTGTGCCCACCACCACGCAGGCGAAGATACACGGGAGCATGATCACTGGGAAGGTCAGCTTTGCAAATGTTCCAAGAGGTCCCGCAAACTGGTTTGAGATCCGAGAGATCGCCAGTGAACATGTTCGCGTAGATCCTATCTATCCGAAACGCACTCACAATAGTTCCGTCACGGGCGGTATGATGGGCCGGGTTGACCTGCGAGCATTCCATAGGCCGCAGGAACATGGTCTAGACCTTATGAGCCAGGGAGCCAGGTCCATTGTCCATTGTCTTGAATAGAGCCATCGACGCGTTGAGTCCCCCCCCTAACTCGCAGAAGTCGAAGTCACCCACGAAGCAGAATATGCCTCGAACAGATTGTAAAAACTCAGCACACTTAGTTAGAATGCGAATATTGTCGCCGTGGCGGCACTTCGGGTAGAGATGGGGGTTGAGGGAGGTGAGCGATAAAGTAAAGGACGACAGTGTTACGGCGTGCAATCGCCCAGGAATCAGCTCGACATGCAGGGCGTTCGGCAGCAGGCTGCGTGGGGCACGAGAGATCATAATCACATTGCCTCCAGCGTTTGGCTCCGAACAGAATGAACCGAACGAGCAGAGAGCTGGAAACTCGGTTTCAAGCGACACTAGGTCGCCATCATGGCCATGCGTTTCTTGAAGACAGACAAGGTTGTTTGGTCCAGCTAGGTTGACGAGGCGGTCGAAGGTTTGCTTCTGCATCTCGTGGTCCCCAGAGACCGCTCCAAATAAGGTGCGGTAATTCCAAGTAACCAATCGAACTCCGCGACCGTTGGAGAGGGAGAAACGGCGGGGAACTCAGGCAGGGGTCCGAAGGGCCCTCGGGCGAAGGTGGCTGGGCCCCAAAAGAAGTAGGCGAAAGCGATGCGCTAATAGACGGCAGCGACGAAGCAAAGACGGCGAGAGAGAGGCACGCAGCACAGGCAGGGAAGGAGAAGGAAGAGGAAGGGCACGCGCAGCTAGGCTGGCCTCATCTCAGATGTTGAGCACAGCGGCCTAAGCCTGCTCGACCATCCAGTTGGCCGTCCGCTCGGAAATTCCCCCGTCCCTGAGCTGGTCATCGAGCAGTTTCAAGTCGTACATGCCACTTGGCGCATCCACTAAGCGGAGGAGCTCCCAGTGGTCGTTCTCGGTCGTGATGCTGAACACCCCTGTGAACGGGTTCGTGCCGAGCTTGATGCCAGGAGCCCACGTTCCCTCGTTCTCCAGGTGCTTGCAGATGGTCGCAGGGCACTCAGGATGCGGTTCTTCTGGCGCGCAACGGGGGGGCATGTCTCGCCGATGCCGTAAAGGGTGCATCGAATTCTTGCGATAGTCCTGCCAGCTGATCGGGTTCGCGTTGAACCAGTCATGGAAGTCCATCGCATCCTTCTCACTCGCCAAAGTGATCGAAAAAAGCCTGCGACACCTAGTGAAAGTGGCCAGTAATTCGCGCCCCAAGATCGCTGGGCACTCGAGTTTTGACCCGCTCGAGGACCGCACGGCGATGAGGCTCAGTGACTGGCCTCGGGAAACCACTGATCCACCTGCGCAGCGGGTTCACGTCAGCTCGGTCGTCCTATGTGATGTGGAATGTCGGAGTCGATCGAACCAGCAGTGGATGGCGTACCAGCGCGTCGGCTCTTCAACGGTGGCCAGGAAGCCGTCGAGGCAGCCTCGGATGGAGTTTTCTGCAGCTCCTTGAGGGGCGTCTCGATCTTGTCGATATTATCCTGCATCTTCTTGCTGATGGAAATAACGTTCTGGGTATTCTCGTTGGTGTCGTCGGGATCGAAGAAGTTTGCCATCGCTGCGGCATCACGGTTGGCCTGCTCCAGCCTCGAGATGCGCATGTCTAGCGTGACGTTGAGCTCCTCCTGTGCGCATTTGGCCTGGGCGAAAGTTTCCTCCATGGATAGCTCGAGCTCCGAAATCTTGTCCGCCAAGCCTTCTGTCACGTAAAGCCGAGCCTTGACATCACGTATGTCGTCACGCATGTTGGCCATGCCACCAGTCAACCCCTCGAACACATGCAAGAGCTGGGCGTTTGTGACCACTGGTGCGGCAGCAGCAGCCGACATCCTGGCGAGCGGAGGTAGCTGGCAAAATGCCAAAATCGCAAGGCCGTGCCTTCAAATCCTTGAAAGCCGGCTTGAGCCAAAATGGCTACGGAACGGGTACGAGGAGGAGGAGGAGCAGGAGGAGGAGGAGGAGGAATACGAGGATGAGGAGGAGGGAGAGGAGGAGGAGGAGGAGGAGAAGGAGGAGGAGGAGGAGGATAAGGAGGCTGACGAGGAGGGGAGGAGGAGGTCGACTCTCGGCAGCTTTCCAGCCTCGAGATGCCTTCCAGCAGCTGCGCCTCGCCGCGAGCGCGAGCGCTCTGGGGGGTCCAGATCGTCTCGAACGCCCGCTGGAGAGCCGAGCTACGAATCGAAAGCCAGACAGAAGACACATACGGTAAGACGTCTGTACTCTAAGTCAGATTGGGGCACATCCTGTGTCGATATTTGAGGGTCCTAAGGTGCCCCAGGGCTCATATGGGTCCCTGGGGCCATGGGGGGGATGAGGAATGTCCGTAGGGCACCTGCTGGGAGGCCGATTTCTATCCGACGTGCCTACTATACAGTCATGGTAGTTCTATCCGGAACGCTGAACAAGAAGCGAAGGGCCTTTGCTGGCCACGGGTCAGTGACAGGTTCGTCCGACCTGGATCAACGGAACGGCCCGAAAGCTGGGGCCCATTTTTGAGCCGAAAGCGATCCTTATGTCAGTGGCTTGCCTGCGTCGGTGTCATGCCGACCGGACGGCCCAATCAGCGGGTTACTCCTAAGAAAATGTCAGCCTATTGGGCGCAACAGGCAGGCGAATGACACGTACAGCCCGAACGACAAAGCGCGCGTGCTTATCCCTCCGGAACCTTGCCCCCGCGCCAGAGCAACGGGCAGCTCTGACTCCCGTCGAAGCCGCGGAGGTTGAGCTCGACCAGCCTTCCTGGAAGAAGAGAACACCGCCCAAACATGAACATCCCGACGTCCGCGCGCATTTCTTGGATCGGCGCTCGACCCCCTGTGCGGCGCCTCTGGCGCGCTTCGCCCGCCAGGGAGAGGGGTCCTGCGGCGATCCACGAACTCAGACATCCGACGGTGTGATGTTGTGAATGTGCAACCCCCAAAAAAGATCCCGGCGCTTTCCCCCGGGGTAGTCCCAGATCCTTGTTTGATGGTCCGGGGCCTGGTGATGTGCCCGGGAGGCCGAAATCGAGGAGACACGCCCGGATGGAAAACCGTGTCGTCGGAGATCTGGGCACGAAGTCCGCGCGGACCTCCCACAGCCTGTGTTCGTGAGATGTTTCTTCTCCAGCTTCCGACGCCGTAGGTAATCGTCAATGCGAGCAGGAGACGGGAGCCCTCCTTTCTGGGAGGCCTGGAAATTGGCACCAACACCAGCGCACAGGGCTGCCTCCACCAGGGGAAGATGCTGGTGGTAATCGATCGGTCACTTAAGAAGCCCGATGATTACCACCACTACCGAGATCGGGATCGTGTTCCCTCGGTGGAGGCAACCGCCGATACTGGTGTTGGGGCCGACCCAGGCCTCCGATCCTTGACCGCCTCCTGTCCCCGCCTCGCTCTCCGCCTGCGTACCTGCTCCTCGTTCTGCTCCGCCGCCCGCGCCATCACGGACTCGTGGCTGATTATTCGGCCCCAGCTCATGGCGGCGACCAGGACCTTCTGGGCTGACGACCTCTTGCACACCGGCGCCAAAGACCTTCCACCCGAAAGCGACGCCGCATCGCGGGGAGCATCGCGGTCGTCGGGGCGCTCCCACGGCAGCCAGCTAGTCAGCGACTGCGTGAACGACCTCACGCCGCGGGAGAAGTCGGAGTCGTCGGCGCTCTCCCTCGGCCGCCCATGCCCGAGGGGCGCCTCCGACTGCGTAAACGAGTTCGCGTCGCGGGAGAAGTCGGAGTCGTCGAGGCGCTCCAACTGCCGCCGCCCGAGGGGCGGGTCCGAGAACGAAATGGAAAGCCCGGAGTCGTCGGTGCCCTCCAGCACGGGTCGCCCGGAGGGGATCTCCAGATGGTCGAAGCTGTAGGACACCGTGGGTACACTTTCGCTCCTGCGCTCCAGCACGGGTCGCCCGGAGGGGATCTCCAGATGGTCGAAGCTGTAGGACACCGAAGGTACACTTTCGCTCAGGTCGCATGGAATCTCTGAAATGCCCGACGAACGCACCCCAACGGACAGCCTGTTCGGATCGTAGCTCGCTGTCCGAGCGTCTTCCGCTTGGCCGTGATCGATGGACTGGCCGGACTGCAACTGCAGAGCTATCGCCCTTCGTGAGATCGGCATGCACGCGATCCCTTCGTGAGGCTGCCGGGCTACAGCAGAAATTCCTTGAACCAGAACGACTACATATGAGTGTGTGTGCGCGTGTGTAACTGTGGTGCTTGGTGATAGCTGGTGGGGTTGGACGGTGTGATCACTGGTTTTGTGTGGGCGGTGCCCATTGATCTCTGAATGTTACGGACTGAATGGCTTGCTCGTGCGCGCGCAGCCCGCCATCGCCCTGCCGCTTGTACACGTTCGTGTCTCGGCAATGCAATATGATGCCGAAGGTCACGGCGTGGAGGATTCGGCACACCAGCGCGGAAACGCCGACATGGGGGTCACGACAGAAATTGGCCGGGTGGACCGTGACGACGCATGTATGAGCCGAGGAGACAAACAGCGCGGCACTATTGATGATCCTGAGGACGTCCTGAGCAGAATCGCCCAAACACAGCTCAATCCACTCTCCTTGATCAAATGCGAACGAAAGGAGTGGATCACCCCAGGGGGAGCCCTGCAGGCGGAAGCCCGTTTAGAATGCCAGGGGGGTGGGGCGTTGGGACCGCGCGTCCACTGATGTGGACGGGGTTGGGCGCAGAAGCCTTCATGTGTGTTTCGGATGTTGCTGGGGCTCCGGTGTGGCGTTAGGTCAAGCACTTCCGAGCTTGATCAGGCTCGGAGAGGTTGTCTCCGAACGCCACCACACACGCCCATGCCGACCCACAGCGTGTTGGGAATGTCTACGCCCATTCCGCCCGTCGTTTTGTAGCGCGGTCGTGCTATGTGGGCCACATTGCGCTTTGATTGCTCACAATGCCAGCACATCGGCTTCACACGCCCGCCCCGACCTGTCCCAACCCAGCATGTGGAAGGCAGACCGTAGGGACGCATAACGACATACAAGCCAGATGTGCCCCCCTCGGAGGCGAACGTCCGACAGGAACGCATCGCACAAACAACTTGCAGTGTGCTCTGATCCGAACGGCATGGCCACACCACGCCCGCCGCAGCGCTTGGACCACAAGATGCTTCAGCGCGCGCGTCGCCCCGATGGAAGCGATGCACACATAGTACAAACATGTCGGAATCCGGCCGAACCGAAGGACTTGGAACTCCAGCCCGCACATTTGCAGGCCAGGGTGGCGGCCATCATCCGGAGGACCCCTCCGCGACCGAGAAGCACACGAATGGACCCCCCGCAAGCGGCAGGGGAGCACACAGGCCACCCCAAGGGGGCAACGCGAAGCGGCCTGGCTGCGAGGCGGAGGCCGACCAGGGCCACCGACGGCGTCCGCGACGAGGTCGAGCTCGGGCGCGCGGCGGGCGCTCGACGGACTGCTGGACAGCCGAATGATCCTGGGGAGGCCTGGTCCCAGTAGGGCCGTGTTCGGTACCCCCTGTGTGGCTGAGGGAACCGTGGGGGGGGGGGAGGGGACGCGATGGGGGAACTGGCTCAGGGGGGGAACATCGACCTGACATCGGCGATGCATTGCCGATCACTTGGCGATAGGCACCCGATTGCACGTCCGCGCGTCCCTGGGCGGAGTGGGCTAGCGGGCCCCTGATCGGCATGGCGATGCCCCTGAGAACTAAAGCCGATGATCCCGGATAACTCCTGCCAAGAGAATGCTGGACAGAGTGCGCAGTCGGAAAAACAGAAGAACCGAATGGAACATAGCCGCCCAGGAAAAAAATCGCACACAAACGGGGAGGCGCGAGCCAGCAGCCAATCGCTGACCACGCCCTGCCCAGATCACACGGGGCTCTGAGGTTGCACGCTGCGCATGGCCGCCACCGCCGCCGCCATCCCAAGGAGGACGGCGCAACCGCGTCGAGGACGGACCCTGGCGCGAGCGGACGCGGCGCCCATCCGTCGCTGCGCGGCGGCGAAACTGCCCCCAGCGCCTCCGACTGCCGCCACGATCTCGGGCCCCGATGGCTCCGGGCAGGCACGCGAGGGGCCGGCACAGCCGCCGCCTGGCACGCGGAGGCCACCCGCGGGAGGCCCTGCGGCGCGGGGGCGAGGAGTGCCAGAGACCACGGGCGCGCCAACTGGGGCCCCAGGGGGTGTCGTCGGTGTCGTCCACATGCGGTTCTCAACTCGATTCGGCACACCTCTCACACGTTTCGTGACACCAAAGGGAGCTCCATCTAAAGCCCCAGGAGGGTGTCGTCTACATGCGGTTGCCCACAAATTTCGGCGCACTCCTCACACGCTTCGTGGCCCCTAGGGACTTCGGCGCACTTCTCACACGTTTCGTGGCCCCATGGGGAGCTCCATCTAAGGCCCCAGGGGGGAGCTCCACCGAAAGCCACAGGAGGTGTCACCCACATGCGGTTCCCCGCGAATTTCGGCGCACCCCTCACACGTTCTGCGGCCCCAGAGGGAGCTCCATTTAAAGCCCCAGGGGGATTGCCCACATGCGGCTCCCTGCGCATTTCGGCGCACACCTCACACGTTTTGTGGTCCCATATGGAGCTCCATCTACGTAATGCCACTGGGTGTGTCATCCACATGTGGTTCCCCACCCATTTCGGCGCACCCCTAACGCGTTCTGTGGCCCCACAGCGAGCTCCATTCAATGCCACGGGGGTGTCGTCCACATGCGGTTCCCTGCGCATTTCGGCGCACCCCTCACACGTTTCGTGGTTCCATTTGGAGGTCTACTGAAGGTCTCAGTGGGTGCGACCACATGAGGTTCCTCGCGCATTTCGGCGCACCCCTCCTTCTATCTGCCCCGCGATACTCGCAACTGCAGATGGTTGGATTGTTGTGTTGTTTTCAGTCTCCGGGAGCACTTACCGAGCCCCGGGACTAATAACAAAAACAACTCGAGTGAAAAAGCGGTCCCCGGGAAGGGGTCCAGACCTCTGGAGGGCCGCGCTCCGAAAACATCACGATGAAGGATGTTCGGACAAGCTTGCCACCCGCCACGCGAGCGCCGGCCCCAGCACAGCTGGTGATCTCTGGTGCTCCGTGCTGATTCGTACACGGCGACGAGACAGGGGTGGGGGGGCGGGCGAGAGGCGTGGGCGGGGGGAAAGATGGGGGGAGGTGGGAGAGAAGCGGGAAAGCTGGGGTGAGCAGGAGAAGCAGGAACGGTAGGGGAGCAGGAGGAGGAGGAGGAGGAGGAGGAGGAGGAGGAGGAGGAGGAACAACAGGAGATGGAGGAGGAGGAGGAGGAGGAGGAGGAGGAGGAGGAGGAGGAGGAGGAGGAGCAAGCGCGTCACAACTCCTCGTCTGGGACGTAGGCGTACTCCCGGAGCTCGTACTCCTCGTCGAGCATGCGTCGGAACTGGAATCGCTGGTGCTCGGGGAACTCGAACCACGGCACCAGGAGGGGCAGCCGCCGCCGCGGCAGGGCCCTCTCGAGCAGGGGCGCGATCCTCTCCTGCGCCGCCAGTGGATGTGTCCACATCCACCGCCGCGGAGTCGTGTCCCCGGGACTTAGGGAGCGGGGGATGTGGACACATTCTGGCGGTGGATCTCCATCCCGCTGGTGCTCAGGAAGATGGCGGCCAGCCGCAGCCTGCCCAGCTGCGGCCCGAGCCCCGGGAGCGTCTCGAAGACGTCTCCGGCGACGAACCTCGCCTTCTGCAGGCCCAGGCGCGCCGCCTCCGCCGCCGCCGCCTCGACCAGCGTGGCGTTGAGCTCGAGGCCGACCGCGCTGCAGTTCCAGCGCTCCACGGCGGCGTGCACCCAGCGGCCGTCGCCGGAGCCCAGGTCCAGGAAGAGGTCGCCGGGGCCCAGGCGGAAGTGCGCCAGCGCGGCCGCCAGGTGGCGCCGCGGCGCCGCGAGGAAGGGCGCCAGCGGCGCCCCCGGCCGCTTGGGGCGCCGCGCCCAGCTCTCCGCGATCTGCGGGTTGCTCAGGTTGGGCACCCGAGGGCGCCGCGCCTCGGGGCGGCGTCCAGGAGGGTGGCGTCCAAGGGGGGGGGGCGCAAGTCATGGCCCGAGGCGTGCTCGCGGCCCCAGGGGGGGGGGCAGGGGGCAAAGGGCGTGTTGAAATCCGCCGACCCTTCGGCGTGCGTGAGTCGCTCTTCCGTTTGAGTCGTCGTCGTCGTCGTCGTCGTCGTCGTCGTCGTCGTCGTCGTCGTCGTCGTCGTCGTCAGTCCCAAGGAAATTCAGGAACGAGGAACTTGAAGAAAGTCGTAGTTAAATCGAACAGAAGCCCCTTCCCTTTGATCCCTTCCCTGCCGTGGGGGGGGTCCCAAAGGGGGTTGGGGGGATCCCGAGGGGGATCCCGGGTCAGAATACCACCCCCCTGGGAGGGCCTGGAGCCCCAAAGAGCCCCAAGACGGGCCAAGAGTACCCCAAGAGGCCACCAAAACGGTTTAAGAAGGCCCCGAATCGCCGAACGACTCCAAGACGCCCTACTAGGCCTGCAAGAGCACTCCCACAAGGGCTCCACGAGGCAACTTCATCTATTTTCCCAAGGCTTTTGACTGATTTCGGCGTTCTCGCTTGTTCGGCTCCCCGACGCTCCAAGACGGCCCAAGAGGCCCCCAAGATCGCCCCAATACAGCGCAAGAGACCCCCAAGACGGCCCCCAGGACGCCCCAAGAAACCCCCAAGAGACTCCCGAGAGGCCAAGTGGCTTCCAAGAGGCTCCAAAGCTGCCCCCCAGAGAACCCCGAAGCATCCCTGAGGACTCACTCTGATACACGTCAGCGTCGTCGTCCCTCTTAAGGTTCGGCGGCACTGGCCGTAAGGCCGTCGCAATAAGAAGAGTGTACCATGGAATCTGCGAGGCATCGTGGCCCTGGCAAGGATATCCACACGCCCCAATGATCATCACCCTCCTCTTGGCCGCCCCCGAGCGCCGCAAGCAGGTCCCCGAGCTCGTCGCCGCGCGCCGCCAGCGCGGCGGCCGCCGCGGCGGCCAGCCACCGCTGCAGCATGCCGGCGCCGGGGCCTCCCGATCGGAGCGAGCGGCGCCGGCGCGGCGCAGAGATCCTCAGACCCTGGTGCTGCCATCGTTTCACAACGGGCGGTGTCGCCCGGTTGCGGGCCCCAGGGCCCTCGCATGCCGATCCGGCCAGGAAAACTCCACAGGAAGCTGTGGTGTATACTTGTTGCCATGTTGCAGTTGTGCTGCAACGTCGGATCTCAAAGGACCTCCTCCCCTGGCGACGCGGGCGCCCGCCGCGGCGCGGGCGCGGGCGCGTGGCGATCCGGGCGGCCAGCCAGCCCGCAAGGGAGCCGGAGCTGGCCGCGGAAGGGCCCCTCGTCTGAGGGGCAACGCTGGGGAGGGGGCCGGCTCAGGGGGGGAAGCATCGAGCTGGAATCGGCGAGACGTCGCCGATAGATCGGCGACAGGCCCCCGAGAGCGAGAGCGCACGGTCCTGGGAGGGGTGGGCCATGAGGCCCCTGCCGGCGACGAATGGGCGCCGAGCCTACTCCGAGTTTCTTCATAAGCGTCGGGGGGGCGCCACCCCCGCCGACATCCCCGCATCGACCCCCGTCGCGGGCAGCCACCGCGCGCCGAAGGCGCTCCGACCCCCGTCGCGGCGCGAGGACGAGGCGAGGTTGACCCCCGTCGGGGGGTGTACCCCCCCGTCGGGTGTGTACCCCTGACGCTGCCCCCGAGACCCTCTTCGCTCACCCCGCCGACCCCTTCCCGCCCACGGGGGGGCGCCGGCGGGTCGAAGGTCGCAGGGCCTCTTCGCACGGCGCGGCGCAGCAGTCGGCGATCAGCGGAGAGGGGTCCCGCATGTTTGCCCTCGCTTTCGAGCCCCTGGCAAGACCAGCAACAAAACGACGCATGACCTGGTGGCATTCCCAAGATAGTGCGGTGACGGACCGCGCGGTGCCCTCGGAATCCCAGAAGGCCTCACCGCACGCTCCGTCACCCCACGGCTCGGGGACCTCGAAGCCCCAGTTGCCCGAGAAGTCCTGGGAGAACGACCCGAGTCCCAAAACCGTGCGGCCACTCCGAATATCCACTGACTCATCACACGGCGTGGTCGACGCACCACTTGGCGACCCTCGAATGAAGAGCTGGCCATGGGGAAACACAAGGGGTCAAGGACCCGTTAGGTACCTTATCGGCGGCGCGACCGGGGGGGAAGTGAGAAGGAACAGACTTACGATGCTCAAACTTACTTTAGCCTGAATCATTCGAAAGAATCACGTGTCGGGCTCTGGGAGGCGATGGTCGTACGACACTGCTTTGACACTTTTCTGGGTGCTCGAAATTACTTATGGGATTTGGTCCTTACGTACGATGGGAGCTACATAAGAACAGACCTTCCCAGAAGGCGGCTGGGCTTCTCAGAAGCCCTCTGGTGGTCTTCTGAGAAGCCCTCCGCGCCTTCGGGGAAGTCTCGGAAGACTTCTCAGAAGGCCCCAGGCCTTCCGAGCCTTCAGAGCAGGCCCGCCCCTCCCCACTCCCCCCCAAGCTCGGCCGAACCAGGCACTGGCACAGGCCGTGGAAAATCTCTGCCCGTGTCCTCGGCGCCCCGACGTCCGACGCCGCGAAAAAGTCACAGGGTCGCGACAAACAGTTTCCATCCAGGGCCAGGCAGAGGCCCCGGACAATGCCCACGGAGTTCGCCGCCCCTTCTCTCCAGGGCCAGGTAGAGGAGGCCAGGCCCGCCGGCCTCCGACGCCAAGACGGCCCACCGGATCACCTCCGTCCGAGGCCATCCCCCGCCCCGCGGGGCGCGGCCACCGCCCCGGGAGGTGCAGCAGAGGAGGAGCTGATGCTCCGAGCGCTCGCTCCCGCGGCGTGCCCAAGAGAAAAGGAGGAGGAGGAGGAGCGAGGAGGAGGAGAAGGAGGAGGAGGAGGAGGATAATAAGGATAAGGCCCTTGGGGGTCTGTCAACCAACTTCGCCTACCGACAGGCATGCCGACCCCTGGGAGAGATATGGATGCGAGCCCACCCTTGCTTTGGGGGGGCCGCCTGAGGCGACGGGGCCCGCCCCTCTGTTGGGCGTGGTCCCCGAGCCTCGCTAGCAGGGAGACCCTGCCTCGGTTTCGGCCTGTCAACTGTTGCAGGCGGTGGGGGGCTGCCTCGATGGGCGCACCCCTCACCGCTGAGAGCCCACCCACCTCCGCCCCCCATCCTCCCCACTCCCCACTCCCCAGACGGCAGAGAGAGGCAAAGAAAAAAAAAGAAGAGGCGGCCTGGTACGTCTCCCTCTCGGCTATTGTAGGTGCATGGCCGCACTGGCCCATGCGGTGAGTGCTTGCAGCCGAGCCCCCGCTTCTAAGGCTGAAGTGGGGAGAAAAAAAATGGGGAAAGCCAGGCCTGGTGCAATCTGCTCTCTACTGCTGCCCTATGCCCCAGCCTGCCGCTGCTGCCGCCCTTGGCGATGAGAGCCTGACGTCCCTGCTCTGAGCGGAGCCGTCGGCCTTAGTGACTGCGGTGGCGGCGGCTGGGGTGCTAGAGCTGGCCTCACTGCACAACACCTGGCCGCGGTTCTCCCAGCCCTCTATGCTCTTGCTCGGCTTGGTGCACGGCGGCCTGCGAGCGGGCTGGAGGTAGTCCTTGATCTCCATCTGCGGCTCCACCATCGGCTCCGTCTGCGTGTCGCAGGCGAAGGAAGCCTCGTCGTAGGCGTAGCCGTGCGGGCCCTTGGTCCAGCGCGTGTATATGTTGTCGATCTCGTCGGCCTGGCGCCTCGTGTAGTCCAATTCCCATGGCATCGGGCCGTGCATCGTCTTGCCCATCTTGTCGTCGGTGATGCCGATGGCGCTCCTCATCGAACTGATGGCGCCGTTGATGTCGTGGAGCTGCTCCTTGAGGTAGAGCTTCGCTTGGCTACGCTCTGCTTCTTCATGTGGATTGAGGCTCCTCGCGTTCATGCGGCCTAAGGTGGTCACCACCTTCTCCCGCTGCTTGTGGAGCGCGTGGAGGGCCTTCTCGCAGTGCTCGGTCGCCACCTTGAACGTGTCGGCGGTGCTCTGGAGTGTGTTGTGCGCGATCTCGAGCCTGTGCGCCGCCGTGCCCGCGACTTGGTCCGCCGCTCCTCCCAAACCTCCTCTGTCGTGCGGCTTCTGCACTATCGTTGGCTGCAGATGCTCGGCTTCTTCTGCAGCTGGCTGCTGCGCCATCTCCCCCTTCTCCGCGTGCGCCTGCGCCGCCATCGCAGCTCTGGTCGTGCGCCCTCGGGGCGCTGGCTCTGAACGAAGGCGGAGTGTCCGCCAGCAATGGATAGAGAGGCCGCGAAGATGCTCGAGTCGCAAATGTCCTCTGGTAGTATGTCGAGCTGTGTACCGATCCTCGTTTACCTTAGTGGTTCCAGTCTACTGTTGTACACCTTAGATATTGTAGTAGTTTCCTTAGTTCCCAGTAGTTGGGCCGTAAGGAACCGTAGTAGTACCTTGGTGTGAGAGTAGGCGTAGGCTCGGTCGTTTGCTGCTGTCGGAATCCTGTGCCTGTCCTTAGTGTGCGATTCTTATTCACTCTATCCTCTGGAGGTCGAGAAAGGTAGCAGTTGTGATAACTAAAGCGGACAAAAGCTGGATGTATCTGAGCGGGAGAGGAGAGGTCGAACCGTGGTCGGATCACAATCGCATGGCTGTGCTGGATGTTGTGGTGTGGTAGTTCCCTGTGTATGCTGTCATAGTACGCGATGTGTACCCTGTAGCATGTCCTGTCGTTCTGTACGAGGTCGCAGATACGTCGGCTTCGAGCGTGCATCCGCGATACTGCATGACAGACAAACCCCGACTGCGAGTGGAACTAGTAGAGAGCTGATTGCTTAGGAAAGAGATGGTAGGTTGGGAGTGGGAGTTGGTGGGAGGAGGGGGCGTAGGTAGTGGGAGCCCGTGTAATGGTAGGGTGACGGCTGAATAATTAGAAGGTCCGCCGTCCCCCTCATTCTTTTGCCATAGGCTGGTAATAGTCCCTTGGTCGTAAGTCCCGATAGTACGTAGCCATCCGATATAGGTATGCCATCTGGCCTCCGTGTTGCTCGGCCTGGCTTCTGAGACTCGTCATACGAACAAGGTCTGCACTAATCTGCTGTGCTATTTTTTCCTCTCGGCTCACTGGCGGCGATGATGGTGGCCAAGCACGAGGGCGCCCCATGGAGTTGAGGCGTGGCTCGACGGCGCTGCTCGACAGCGAGCTGCTGGCTCCGCTGGGCTGCGGGCCTGGCGGGAACTGGCCCGCGGGGCTCTCTCGCTCGCGGCGGGGCGAGCTGCTGGGCATTGGCTGGGGCGTGCCTTGGCTCACCTCCTGTTGAGCTGCGCTTCCACTGCCCTCTCCAGGCCCGTCTTCGGGCCCCCTGAACGGCTCTTCGTGGCCCCGAGGTGCGCCAACGCGTGGCCCAGGGCCTGCTTGAATATGTCCCCCTTGAAGCCCGCGATCTTGTCGTACTGCTCCTGCTCGAGCTTCTGGTCGTACAGCGCGGCCCTGAAGCTCGGCGCCGTGCTGATCGTGTAGATGAGCTTGGCCTTGCACTGCTTGATGTCCATCTCCACGTCCTCGCCCGTCTTGTTGTATGCCTCCTGGATCTTGCACTGCAAGAAGACCTCCGTGATGAAGATTGGTCCCCAGGGTTCGTCGAGCTGGCTCATGAACTCCTTCAGGAGCTGTCTCACGTGGAGGAGGGACGCGTCGAGCTTCTGCTCCTCCGAATCGAGCACCGCCACTATCTCTTCGACCAAGCTCGCCGCCACCTGGCCATGCGGTGGGCCTAGGCCGTGCCCCTTGCCCAGCTGCTTTACCTTCCGCCCGTGCTCTCTGCCTGTCTCCATCGGCGCCTGCACCCATTCTGGCTCGAGCGGCGTCAGCCAGAACTCTCCCGTGAGATGCAGAAAATTGCGAATCTCGTTCGAGTTCTGGAGGGTGAGCCTCTGGAGCGATCTCAGCTGGTCCCGAAGCTCCACCTGGCCGCCTCCTCCACCACCACGGCCGCATCCTGGGGGTCCGCGACCGCCTCCTCCTCGGCGCTGTGTGGGGGGCGGCTGCTGCGGCGTCTGCTGCGACTGCTGCGTGTCTGACGAGCCGACTCCGCCTCCGCCGAGGTGTGGGCGCTGTGCAGGTCGCTGCCCTTCGGCTGCGCCCCCTCCTCTCTTCGTGCTGGCTCTGATGCGCCAGTCGCCGTGGCCCCCGTGCGACATGTGCTCCCTCTCCCCGTGCTGTTCTGATCGACTCTGGCCCTGCTATGTGCTCGCGTATGTGTGCGTGGTACTCCTCAAGCGTTTGAGCCTCGTGGTTACAGATCTGGCAGCTAAGGGAGCTGGGGTCGGAAATGGGGTGGGACCACATCGACCTGTCTTGGTGGCAGATACCGTGACCGTGCACTGCCCTGACCGCGTGGTCGACACATACCTTGCGATTAATAAATGTGCTCTTGCACCAGGGACACTGGTTGTTGACGATTACGGACGCCACCACTGGTCGGATGTTGTGGGTCTCTCGGCGATGCCCAGCTAGTGCTGCGTATGTCGCAAAGCGCATGCCACACCTCTGTTCCGCGTCGTTCTCGCCCTTCGTCGTATGATCGCACCAGTAAGGTTTTAATGTGTCCTCCTCCCTGCCCTCCTCCTCCTGTATCGTCGCATCTCGTGTCGTGAGCACATCCCAATTTCGCTCGTAACTGTACAATATTGATGGGTCTGTTTGTAACCAGTTTTTTTGTTCCGTACTCCCCTGTTCGAATATGGCGAGGTCGGATTCCCTGTCTGCATACCATCCCATGCTCTCGTCCACAGTTGCTATCGCATGCATGTCGGCTGCAAACTGCTGTGCCCACGGGGTGGAGGAGGGCCCCGCGAATCCCTGCCCCCCTAGTCGTCGCATGTCCTGAGCCGCGTCTAGTCTGGATGTTCCGAACACTGCTGCGATGACTGCTCCGTGCTCCCAAGGGCGCCTTGACCAGTTCTGGTACCATCGTAGGCGTCGCACAAGCAAAGATACGGATGTGCGCTCGAGTCTCCAGTATCTGAACACCTGTCGCAAATTGTTGCACCTCACTGTCCCATCTGTTCTGGTCCACGACATTGCTCCTCCCGCTAGCGTCCGTAGGTACTTGCCTAGTACGCTGTCGATTGCTGTTGTGTGGGTATCTGTCAGAACTAGCGCAGGCAATCCGCTAAGGGCCGCACCTACCACGAAAGCCATGAACATCATGCGTTTTATTTGTCGGGGTACCTTAGAGGTCCAGAAGATCCCGCACTGTCGCCATGCAACGCGAATGGCTGCGATGCGCCGCACGACCTCGCCAGTGATGCCCTGGCCAGCTGGTAGGTAGGGGCCAAGTACACGCATCTCCCTTAGCGCCTGACCTTGCAATGTTTTGCTGCGTCTGAGTTGTCTGGTTTTCCCGTAGCAGCCTTGCCCTACTAGGTATAGTAGGTGGTTGGTCTTGGCATTGTTGAGTCCCCATCCTCCTGCTGCTATTGTTTGGGAAAGGCGTTCTGTGTTGCTGTTGAGTTGTTGTTCAATATCTCCAGCCGTCGCTGCGGGTAAGATTGTCTGCACATAGGTGATGTCGTCCATGAACGTGTTGAGAGCTAAGTCGTGAGTGTTGCCTGCGACTGGGTTGGTCGTGTCGTGGATAATCTGGTCTGGGTCCGCGCGGCCTTGTTCCCACCATTTTGTGACGTACAGGTTGTATGCATCGTTGAATTGCCTTGGGCAGAGGGTGAAGCCCATTTGGGCGCCTGTGGTGCTCTCAGCTTCGACTGTGCCGTCGGCAGCTTCGAGCGTCAGGGTAGAGTGGTCAATTGCTGCCATGGCGAAGCGCTGGTCGTGCTCGTGTGCTTGCCTGAAGGCAACCGCTCTGAGTAAAGCTCGGTTGGTGGCTGCAAACGCGTTGGTGCCGTCGTAGTTGGTTGTGATTGTGCTCACCCCCCCTTGTGCAGCCCTCCATTGGGCCGCTTGTACGCAGAGGATGGCGTTTTCCCGACAGCGGTGTGGGAGGCCTCCTTGGGCCCAGGGCGCCTGCGTTGTGGGTGAACCACGTGCGTGGATGCCTGAGTGCCAAGCCATTCCAAAGGAATCGTAGACGTGTAGTATACGCTTCCCTAGTATCCCTTCTTTGTTGTTGTGTTTCTCTGCTGGGAATGCTTGTGATCGGTGCCAGTCCAGCGGGGTGACCTGACAACTTCGGCATTGTGCAAGGAATTGGTCTAGGTACTTCATGTACCCTTTGCTGTGGTCCGCAATCGTGTCTGCACCTAGTCCTGCGTACCTGCCCCTCCCCACTGCATAAGATTGCTGCTCCCAGGCGGCTCCTTCTGTCCCATCTGTCGCCGTCGGCACACGTCCCAACCTGGTACATTCCGCCCACCCCATCCGTCGAAGCAGTTCCCTCCCCTTCTTGCATCGCCCCAGTGTCGCGCAGTGTGCAAGCTCATCTTCGCCCCCCCTTTTTTTCTGCAGCTGCTACTCGCTTTTCTTCTAGTCGTCTGCTGAGCTCTGCTGGGTCCTGAAGATGGAGGGTGGGATCGATCATCAACCATGTCATTTCGATCGAAATGCCCCATGGTGGCCAGGCCCGTCGTTTACTGGCTCGCTGGCAATACCTACGCATCTCTCGCTTGTCGGCCTCGACCTGAAAAAGAAGATCGTGGTCGGTCGGCAATCGGTCGATGTGCTCCTGGACGAAAGCCTCGTGTTCTGCTCTCTCTGCCTTTCTGTCGATAGGCCTTGCTCCTAGTCCCCCTTCCAATGCTGGATGGGCGAGCTCCTGATACCAGTAGTCGCAAGGCCAGTGGGTTCGAGCAGATCGGTAGTACCTTTTCTTCGGCCCGCGTCCGTTCCTCTGGCACTGGATGCGTAGTCGGCGCATCTCGGCGAGGTTCCGTTTTTCGTAGGCCTCCCATATGCGTTCGACCAGGAGCGCCCGCCCTTGTTTCTCTACACCTTCTCGGGCCTGCTTCAGCGCCGCCGTGACTTCTTTCAGCTCGTTTTGTACCCAGTCGTAGTCGTCGGCACACTGCTCTGGTGTTAGGCTCTGTCGCAATGTTCGTCGCTTCCTAAGGAGCTCGAGTCGGTATTGCTTGGCTCGCTTCGTAAGCTGGTCGATCTCGTCGGGTGTGCCACTTTTTCCGAAAGTCGTGAGCATGGCCGATCGTGCTGCTCCTCCCAGAAGGTCCCAGGTCTCGTCTGGCGTCGCCGCTCCCAGTGCTCTCTCCCACTGCTCCCCACCAACCTCCTCCACCTCCTTGTCGAGTTCGGTGAGCAGCATCTCCCTCTTGTGGCCGCTGCGCAGACACTCCATGAGTCCGTCCCTGCACAGCCCCTGTTGTAGGCGGGCGCGCGTGGGGAAGGAAGTGTTGGAGGTAGAGGCGAGGAGGGCGAGGCCGATGGGGAGGTGGTCCCTGTGCCCTCGTACTTTTACCTTTTGGAGCCTTTTGCCAGACCGATGGAGGACCTCGCACCTTTTTACGAGTCCCAGGGCCCCTGTAGGTACTACAATGTGGTCAATCCGACTGTTGCAACCTGAATGTCCGTAGAATGTAGGTTCGGCGATGTGGTAAGTGGTGACTATACTGAGGTCGCTGGTCTGACACAGGGTCCTAAGGCTCGTGCCGTTGGAATTCTCTATTTTTGGTTTCCTGTCTCCTACCGTCGGTCCTCTGCTCCGCACAATAGTCCCGTCTGTGTCTCTCTGGCAACCAAAGTCGCTGTTCACATCCCCGCCCATCACTATCGTCGTACGGCTGCCTACTCGATCGACACACTGCTCCAACCATTTGGTTATCGCTTCTGCTAATGGCACGTAGTACGCAAGGTGTGTTGGGGCGTAGTAGTAGATAAAAAAAACATAGTCGTGTTGGCCAGTCGAGAGGCGAATTCCTGCAACCCGTCCCTGGAGGCTGGTTGGTGGGGTGTAGGTCTCTCGTAAGCTGCGCTCGTCGATTCTCTGACTGATGAGGATCGTTAAGCCACAGCTTTTGTTGATCCACTTCTCCTTGCGAGCACCAAATTGTAACACGTAGTGGTTAGGGAGGTAGTGTCTCTGTACTGCTTCTGCTCCCGCCCATCTGCATGTGCCACTGAGGAGAATGACGTCCCAACTGTGTAGTTCCGCGCTGATGTCCTCAAGTCGTTCTATGCTCGCTGCCTCTTGTGGGTTGTAGTAGCAGATTCTCATGCCTAGGCGCACGGGCTCGCCATGCGGGCCCCCCAGTCTCCCCTGCCCCCGAGGCCTGCGGGTGTGGGCGCAGAATCGCTGGTGTACGATTGTACTTGAGGTGCGGTCGGTCGACTCTTGGGCACCTCAAACAGCGACTAGGAGGAGGAGGAGGAGGAGGAGGAGGAGGAGGAGGAGGAGGAGGAGGGAGGGGGAGGAGGGAGAAGGGAAGAGGAGGAAGGAACCAACGCGGGGGACCCGAACGGACATTTCGAGCCCTCGGGCCCGAAAGGCCCCCAAGAGGCCCCCAAGAGGCCCCCAAGAGACCCCAAGAGGCCCGAAGATGCCCCCAAGAGGATCCCTGGAAGCTCCCAGAGGCCTCCAAGAAGCTCCCGAGAGGCCCTCAAGAGGATCCCAAGAGGCTCCCAAACTGCCCCACAAACTTCAGGCTCGGCGACGCCGGCCGCAAGGCCTTCGCAAGAGTAGAGTAGAGTAGTGCAGAATATACCAGATATGATATTAGAGTGGAAGAGAACTTGGTAGAGTAGAGTACGGTAGCGTAGGGTAGAGTGTAGAGTAGCTTAGAGTAGGGTCGAGCAGGGCGCTCGTCGCGGACGGCGGCGCTTCAGGCGCTTCTGCAAGAAGCGTTCGCCGAATCGCCGTTTGTTGAAAGGGAAAACCGGCGTTGTTCTCAATAACGAACATGGTATGGGAACGGTCTTCGCGCTAAGTTTTGCCGAAAACGTTTTAAACATTAGCCATCGTGATTCCTCACGCTGCGTTTTGCGGGGCACGTTCGAAGAAGGGGCCATCGGGTTGATCGTCATAATCCGCACAACGCCCACATTAGTGCACAACGCCCACATTAGTACCTCCACGCCTCCCCCCGCCATGAGCGCGCTGGCTGGTGTGGACATGGTTGCCCTGGCCGGTCTTTGAAGGATTGCCGCCCCCGTGGTTCGGATACCTCGTCTTGTCTGCGACGGTCATGCTCCGCTCCCCGAAATGCAAAGCTGAGTGCAGGCCCCGCGCCGCCGCTCGACGAGTCCAGCATTGCACGTTGGAGGGGACGGGCAGAGGGGAGGGGGGAGGGAGGGGGAGAGGGAGGGAGGGAGGAGGAGGACGGATCAGCAGGAGGAGGATGAGGAGGATGCGGAGTATGAGGATGAGCAAGAAGAGGATCAGGAGGAAGAGCAAGAAGTGGATCAGGAGGAAGAGGAGGCGGAGGAGGAGGACGAGGAAAAGGGTGAGGACGAGGAGGAGAACGAGGCAAAGAGGAAGGATGCTTATGATATCTCGGGGGACGGATGAATAGGGGGAGGACGAGGATGAGGAGGGGGAGGAGGATGAGGAGGAGGAGGAGGAGGAGGGGGAGGAGGAGGACTGGGGATGTTGGTTGGGATGCGGATGAGTAAGAATAGAAATGCGATGATGGGACATCAATTCTTGAATGCCCCTGGATGGTGATGCTGATGATGATGATGATGATGATGATGATGATGATGATCATCATGGTGGTAAGCATGACCGTAACGATGGCCATTATGTTGATGGCTATGCTGGTGATGGGGATGGAGCTGATTTGTATGTTCGTCATGACGGTGTTGATGGTGTTGTCGTTACTATTGATGATGCTGATGATGACGGTGGTGGCGATGGTGTGATGATGATGTGACGTTGCTGTTGATGATGATGACGGCGGTGATGTTGATGATGGTGATGATGGCGATGATGGTGATGGTGGTGGTGATGATGATGATGATGTTGAAGCTGATGATGATACTATGTGATTCTGCAGTTGATGGTGAGGATTGTGATGCTGACAATTATGATGCTCATAATGATGATGATGATGATGATGATGATGATGATGATGATGATGATGATGATGAGGATGAGGATGATGATGATGATGATGATGCTGATGCTGCTGATGATGATGATGATGATGATGATGATGATGGTGTTGATGCTGAGTATGATGTTGCTGCTGCTGCTGCTGCTGCTGCTGATGATGATGATGATGATGATGATGATGATGATGACAACGCTGATGCTGAGTATGCGGATGATGCTTCGGAATATGGCCATGACCATGATCAGGACGGTGATCGCAGCGATGGCGATCTGGAGCCCTTTTGGAAGATGCGCGTGTTCACGATTGTGATCATGTTCAACTCGGTGAGGATGGTGATGGCGATGATGAGCAGGAGGAGGAGGAGGAGGAGGAGGAGGAGGAGGATGTGGGCCAGGATGAGGATAAGGAGGACGAGGACGAGGAGGGCGAACGAGGGGAAGACAGAGGACGGACGAGGAAGGCAGGAAAAGAGGAGGCGGAAGAGGGAAGAGGACAATGGAGCGCAGACGAACGCTGAATGATGGCACGCCGTCCCCCTGTTCCAAGAAGTGCTGGGCCGTGCGTTCTTTGAATGCTGTCCTTGACTGATTGCCCGCTCCGTGATTCGGATATCTCGTCTCGTCCGCGATGGTCATTACCCCCTCCCGCCCCCCCCCCCCCCGCCCCCGAAATGCTGCAAGGCTGAGTGCAGGCCCTGCGTTGCCGCGCGACGCGTCCAGCTTTGCATATCGGGGAGATGATGATGATGAGGAGGAGGAGGGGAAGAGGAGGAGGAGGAAGATGAGGAGGAGGAGGAGGAAGAGAAGGAAAAGGAGGAGGAGGAGGAGGAACAGGGGGAAGAGGAGGAGGAGGATTAGGAGGACAAGAAGGAGGAAACGGAGGAGGAGGAGGACGAGGAAGAAGAACAGGTGGAGGGAGAGGAAGAGGAGGAGGAGGAGGATGACAAGGAGGAGGAGAAGGAAGAGGAGGACGAGGACGAGGAGGACGAGGAGGAGGAGAAGGGGAGGAGGAGGCGGAGGAGGAGGAGGAGGAGGTCGAGGAGGAGGACGAGGACCAGGAGGGGAAGGATGGGGAGGAGGAGGGAGAGGAGGAGGAGGAGGAGGAGGAGCAGGAGCAGGAGCAGGAGGAGGATCAGCAGGGGGAGGAGGAGGACCAGGAGGAGAAAGAGGAGGAGGATCAGGAGGAGGAGAAGGAGGATCAAAAGGAGGACGTGGTGGAAGAGGAGGAGGACGTGGTGGAAGCGAAGGAGGGTGTTGACGATATCTCCGGGGATGGATGCGGAGGGGGAGGACGGGGATCAGGAGGAAGGGGGAAGAAAGGGAGGAGGAGAAGAAATGGTGATGTCTGTCAGGATGCGGATAATTACGAAATCTAGTACGATGATGGGGCCTTCGTTTTTCGGATGCCCCTGGATTGTGGTGATGATGACGACGATATTGGTGATGGCCATGGGCATGGCTGAGGCCATGATGCTGAGGATGATGGTGGTGACGCTGAGGATGCTGATGGTGATGATGATGGCATTAATGCTGATGTTGTTGTTCATGATGGCGATTGTGGTGGTGATGATGAGGACGGCGGTGAAGCTGATGGCGACGGTGGGGATGATGGTGATGACAACGCTGATGCTGAGTATGCTGCAATATGCAGAGTATGGTCATGATCTTGATCATGGCGATGATCGCAATGATGACGATCAGGAACTTGTGCGAGGATGCGCGTGCTGACGATAGTGATCATGCTCAAGTCGGCGCCGATGATGATTGTTTCCCTCCCGCTCAGCTCTGCAGCGCGCCAGGCCACCACAAATCAATGCCAACTGTGTCGATTTGCGCGGCACGCATTTGGGGGGTTAAATTGCGCAGGTGGCGGCGCACACCAACGAACCAGGGCGCCAAGGGGGGCAAGCAAAGCAGCCCCCGCAGTCGCAGTACGAAGGCGGAACTGCGAACGCGCATGGACAAAGCCCTCGACAAAGGCACGCAAAGCGACGTCACGCTCAGCGTCGGGGGCTGCCCCATCGACGCAACTGCGGACAGGGAGGGGGGAGGCGAAGCCAAAGGGAAAAACGGTCGGGGCCCCGGTCGCAAACAAAGCAAACACGCGAGGACAGCGCAGATAATGGCACTGATCGTCTCTGCCATGTCCGCAGCCAATCAAGCGCGGTTTTAGGCGCGCGTGGAACCTCGCAGAGGCCCATGCCGCTCGGCAGAGGGCCCTTAAGACAGCCACCGCTAAAACATAGAAACAGCTCGGCAAACCCTCCGCATTCCAACCGGGAAAATCGGAAACTGCGCGCCAGGGCCAAGACGGCGGGGGCGCGATGTTAGCACTCTGCTGGAAACTTCGCCAAACATCACACCAAGTCTTTCGGACTCCCTCAGCGCTTCCACGGACTGCGCTTGCGACGGAGCAGCAAGATCAGCATTGATCTGTCCGGCTATCGGCAAGAGCTCTGTCATTGCGCCAGGCACGCACGACCGGAACGAGTTCGCAACCCACCCTTGCACCAGACGCGCAATGCTGCGACCTGTAGAACTGGCGCGGATGTCGGCGAAGGCAGTCTGGCAGGTTTGCGACGCAGGAAAACGGTTGACTGTTCGGCGCGGCGACGCTTTCGCGACATGCCCGATCGACGCGCAGCGCGCGTTGCACCCTGCATCAGCAAGGAACCGCATCATCTTACTACTGAAACTGTAGTGAGGGCCAGCATGAAGGTTTTGGAGAGGACGGCCTTCGAACCGATAGAGGCGGGCAGTCGTCCGACGGGGCTAAAGCGCGCAACTCAGCGCATGCGCGACGCGAACGCCGCGGGCAACAGCTGAGTCGAACAAGCCCACGCCCACTCCACAAATCCTGCCAACACGGAATAAATACTGACCGCACTGCGTCGGAAAGCTGGGCCGGCGCTCCTTCGGGCCCACGAGAAACCGCAAGCATCTGCGCCACCGAACAAACTGGACGCGTTCACCACCGCGCCAAAGGCCCCAAATATACATGATATATATATATATATATATATATATATATGCATATACATATATATATATATATATATAATATATATATATATATATATATATATATATATAGACACGTACATACCACAATGCAGCTCTAAGCCGATGGCACCCGCAAGGAGGCAGAGCTTCGAGGGGACAGGCAGCAAATCAATGAACACGTTCGCAAGGCGGAACCCGGGGTCATCAGCGCATCCTAACGAGCCAAACCTACGAGGACCTGCAACTGAGAGCCACCGACAGACTGCGCCCGGGGCAAGAGCAAATCGGAGCATCGACCCAGGGCGCCGTTGGCGAACCCCACGGCCCACGCGAAAGGAAGCCATAATAATCCTCAGCAATGCGCCCTACCCCTAGCAACATCACCTTCGTGGAGGTTTAAAGAACAGCGCGGCCCAGAACGGACCCGCCCGCATTTTCCAGAACGAACAGCCCCCACTCCATAAACAAGCTAAGCCACGCGGCCTTGAAGTCAGCAAAGTGCCAGGCCCAATCATGCTGCGCCATCAAATGGGGAAGGCTCCAATCAGCTTCACAGGCGGTGATATTGCCCGGGGTCGACCGACCAGGAACGCCCCCTGACTGCAATGTCCAGAGGGCAGGCGACGGCGGCAGCAACCAGCTGACAGTCAGCGCATCCCGCATACAGAAGGGCGAGCGGAGGGAGGCCCGCGGGCAGGAACAGCGGAATCGTCAGACGCATGGCCCCCTTTCGACAAGAACACCACGGGCATGCACGGGTGTCATCGGGGAGAATGACGCGAGGGTGAGAGATGCAATGGCAATAGAACGCACGCGCAATGTTTTGCGTGCCGGGGTGATTCCAACTTCCACGGGGCGAATCATCAATCCCTGGCGTGGAGTTCCAAAGACGCCTCGCAAGTTCAGCAAAGTCTGCGCGGGTCAACTTTCACTCGGGACCAGGCGCAGGAACGTCGGCGCGCTGGATTCGCGGTGGCAGGGCGCCCCGCCGCGCGCGATCAGCTTCGCGCGCCGCAGAGACGCCACCTCAGTATCTTGCGGGCTCGTTGCCAGCGTGCCGTGCGGAGCCACGCGGGCGGCCATTGCTCCCCGCGGGAATGCCACCGGGCCGAACTGACCTGTGAGACTACGCCGACGCTCGCGATTGCGTTGCACACGCGCGCGCTCACGCGGGCGTTCGCGGTCAGGAATATCGCTGGCGCGCTGCAGCGTTTCCCCCATCATCAAGCAACTGGTTATTCAACCGCGCAATGCGAGCGCACAGAGCAGCAGGGCCAGCGAACGTTCCTGCGCCCGCGTCAACGGAGGACGCGAACGTTCCTGCGCCCGCGTCAACAACAAGGCGCATGCAAGTACTCGCGTTGCGTCCGAGCCTCTTGACGCCGAAGCATTCTGCGAAACTCAGCATGGGCCTCATGCGTTGCCACCCCAGTTCTAGCTGCATGCAGCTCGATCGGGGGGCGGCGAGTCTGGCGAGCGACCCCATCGGAAAGAAGGCCCCCGAACTCCGAAGCACGAGCAACTCGCGTAAGGGCAGGAAGGCCACGCGCAAGACGACGCTTTGGAACAACAGTCACCACCGAAGGGGCGTGATCGGAAAGGGTTCTTCAGATTGGTAGGCATGCCAAATCGTCGAACCAGCGGCAACTAAATCCATCGAGACTGCCCAGGGGATGTCAACACGCGCGCGACCCAGACGAACAGTGGAGTTAACTTGGGGCCCTGATAGGCGTGGCGGATATCCTGCGGCAGGTGCAACTCAGCCCGGTCACCGGAGCATGTCCATTCGCGGTTGAACGCAGTATCCCCGCGACTAGCGATCCCAGGTCTCGAGGTCCTGCCCACCTTCATCTGCGGGCGCAGAATTGAAATCTCCGAACGGGATGCGGGATGAAGCAGAGGATCGCAAACGAGCGGGGCAAACAACATAACGACAATAACAGCGATGCACGAGACCAGCCGCAACATTCGGAATGCGAGCGGCCACGATTCCCAGGAATCCAGAGGCGCTCCATCCACGGACGTAGGCAAGGATCAGCGGTCTTAGAGCGAATCCGGAAAAGTGAGACGCGAGCGACTCCCGAACACAGACCAGGACCCCATGCCCAGGAACCTCATCAAGACGAGCGCTCAGGGAAAACCTCGCGAGAAGAGAACTTTTCAAGGGCGACCAGGTCCCCAGAGCGCCCGCGGGGCTCCTGAACGCAGACAATCTGGTGCTTCCTCAGCAACCCCGAGAAGATGCGCTATCGAGCGCAGGCCCGATCCTTCATACTGCTGACACTTCTAGACGAACCGCGAGCATTCCATGCAACGACAGAGAGAGGTTTCTGGTTCCTTCGGCAGGAACGGGAAGAACTGCGCTGCCCCAATCTCCCCTGGAACGGATTGCGCCTCGCATGATCGGCCATCGCGCAAGATAAAGGCAACGTCCTGCGTCAGCCAACCAACCCCCGACGGGGCACCCCCCCGGAAGAAGAATTGCCGTCGTGAAAGGCCCACTTGGCCTAAGACATGGTCCACAGTCGCCTGACGCTTACCTCCGATACCGGTGGCCTCGAAGTTGCACGCAAGCGCGACGATCCTGGGCATCTCGAGCGTCGACGCAGGCTTCGGAACATGATGGAGCTTCGCAGCATCGCCCGAGACCTCGCCCAAAACGAAAATGAACCCCTTCGCCGCCCGACGAGTCAACGGGCCACCCTTTGAGCGCTAGAATATCTTTGAGGAGGCCCTCGAGCTCGTTGCGACGACTCTTCCCCATGGCAGTCAACATCTCGTCAGTCTAGGCATCGAGGAGCGGCCTCGAGCGCAAGGTCCTGGGGCCCTTGGGAGTCTTGAGCTCGAAACCTTCAGAGCAATGGTTAAACGAACGCGTCAATCTTCTTAGCGGCTGGAGCGCACGCAGAGGAAGTCTTGGCGCCCGCCCCCGGGAAAATACTACGAGTGACTTCGTCACCAAACCCCACATGGATGGCCATGGACAAGACATCGGGATTCCAACCGCGCATAGACTGAGCAGGCACCCGGGATTTTTGGTGTAGAACCACTGGAACCACCCCCATCACAACTCACCCCGGAGAGACTGGAATTCCAGTTCCAAATATTTTCAAGCTCCGCTTCTGTTTTCGAGATGTTGGCACGCTGCTCGTCAAAATTCTTCTGCAAAGCGACAACACTAGCCGCAAGCTCGCTAACCTGGACCAGCACCTCCGAGAGAGACCCATTCATCTTGGCCACCTGAGCAGTCAGTTCCTCAATCGCCGCATCAGTCGGGGCCATCCCTGCCCCTGCCGCGAAATCGATATGGCTAGTGGGCTCGACCATATCGTGAATTATGCTCTTGGCCCGTATCTTCAACAACACAGGAAAGAGTAGAGCAGGGTAGAGAGTAGAGAGTAGAGAGTACAAGTAGAGAGTAGAGAGCAAAGAGTAGAGAGTAGGGAGTAGAGAATATATCGGAATATAGTGTTGTCGAATAGGATAGCGTAGATGTTTCTTGTTGGAGTCAACGCTTACTGATATAAAACTGCTCGCTACACTGCGAGGATGTCGGGTGAAGATCACGCCTGTGTGCGAGCTCACGAACACCGACTCTGACGGCAGACGGCCGATGGGGGGTGATGACGACGTGCTGCCTATCATCCCATTCTCTCTCCAGCCCGCGGGGCCACCCACATTACCAGTCGAACCTCAGACATGCATCGCGACAAAGGCGTCAATCCACGCGCAAAACACGCCCCGACTCCACTGGCATGTGGGCATACGCAGGACGGCATGACCAACGACGAAACCTGGGAGTACAGCTTGGCATCATAGCCGAGACTGCAGCACGCTCGGCACCAGTGGTCTCAACAAAAGCAGGGCGTGCCCGAGTTGGCGACTAATTCGGCATAGCATTAGGTAGTAGCGGTCGCACATGGTCTTGACAAAAAAGGGATAAGTTGGCTGGTCATCTGCCCACTCTCCCAGGAAACGACACGAACGTAGGGCACGGCACCGTCTTCGATATCAAGCAGAGCTGGCCCTTTAGGCTGACACTGTTCTGGCACTCGGCAGCGCCGTAACACGCACAGGAAACAGGCATGACACAGCACCCGAATTCGACAACTGAGAACCAGGCGCCGCACAGCATTCGACAATGAACACTGGTGGCAGCGATCCGCGGCTCACGTGTGGTCCCACAGAGCCGATCTGTTCAACATGCCCCCTGCCGCACAGCGAGAGCTGCACAGTCCTCAGCACCGTCACAGCCTCTCCCAGGGCGACAGACCAGCACGAGCGGGCCCGTCGGGTTCGACGGCGCCACAGACGGCACTCGCCGCGCCTGGAGCTCCCGAGGCCTTTGCCTCGGGCGGCCCGCAGGGACTGCTCGACGCCGCTCTGGGGTGAGCACGGGAGGGTGCCCAGAGGCGGCGTTCGCCTCCTGCCGTCGCGGAGGAGGCATCGGGGGACGTCGAACATCCAGCTGCACGCAAGAGTGACCCGGGGCCACTGGGCCCCAGGCAAGGGTGACCTTTGGTGTGCGGCTCTGGGGCGGGGGTGCGCGAGGAGGCCCAAGCGCGCAGGCCGCTGCCATCGCATCGCGTCCAGCGATCGGGGGTCCCCAGTGGACCCGCAGCAAAGGTCACCCTGGCGAATCTTGGCCAGGCCCATCCTGGGCCCCTGATCGGTGAACCAGCCTCGAACTTATCCCTATCCCTAAGATGGTCGAGCGAAAAGCGAGGACAAGCTTAGGGATGTGCCCTCAGAAACTGAGGGAACCCTTCAGATCGACATCGAGGTGAGGTGATGCCAGACACAGGGATAGGAATATGTTTCAAACTGGTAATCGTTGCACGTGTCTCCCGGGCCAGGCGAAGAGGGCGTCTGCGCGGATCAAGGTCCCAGGAATGTCGAGGTGCACAGCCGACATCCCCCGAAGGGAAAGAGAGGGAGAGGAGAGACGCAATCGCCAAGTCGCCGAGCCTTCTGAGAAAACAAGGGGGCTCAGAGGCGTCCAAGATGGACTCCTGGAAGCCTGAAGGGCCTCTGAGAATCCCCCGCCGCCAGGAGGCAGAGGGAGTGCACAGCACGAGGCGCTCCATGTCGACCCCTCTGGCCGCACTCCAGAAAAGAAACATGCTTGCTCGTTGACGCTTGGCTCTCCTCGCGCTCGCTGGAATTCACCGAGAGGGAGGAGGGAGAAGCCTTGGCATCAGCCAGTACGCTTTTCTCCATCCGCGGCCCTGGAGGTCTCGACCGCTTCCCTGGGGGGCAGCTTTTCTTCATGGCTTGTGGCCCCAGGGCCCGAAAACGGCCCCCGAGCGGGCGGAGGCAGTTTTTGATTTTTTGGCGACATCCGGGGGTTCTCCGGTGGGGGCGGAGGTGGGGGCCGATGACCGAACCTTTACGTCTGGGCAGCCGCACGCATGGCCGCGCGCACCAGCACTGCGCACCCCCTTCGGACCTGCGCAACCGACAGAGTCAGGCTATCTGGGGGGGGGGGCCGGGGGCGGGCCCGATACCAGGAATACCGCCAGGCCCACAAAAACAGTCTCATGCCTGGAGGGGAGGAGGGGAAGGAGGCCATCGCCAAACACACCGGGAACAACGCACCGGCAGCGTCGACCGCTCCAAGCCGCGGCCCTACCGGGGCGTAGAGGGGCCCGAGGAGCACTCCGCCAACGAGGGGCTCGACGCGCTTGGCGCCAGCTCCGTCGGCGCCTCGGAAGCGCCGCCGTCGGCGACCAGGCCCGCCTTTGCCGCGAGCCCGCGGGCGTCCGCCCTGGCCTCGCCATGGAAGGAGCAGGTCTCGAGGGAAACGGGTCCCGAGTTTTGTCCGCCGTGTTCAGGGGTGGGTGGTAATGGGGGGTGACCTGAAGAGAAGGGCCTGAAAGGTGCCCTTTAAAGGGCCCCTTTGGGGCCCTTGCTGGCTCCAAAGGGGCCGAAAGTATCCCTTCCGGGTCTTTTTCTTCACCACTTATCTGTGACCTTCGTTTTCTTTCTCGGGTATAGGCCGTTACCCGGGAGGTGGGGGGAGAGCGGGAAGGTAACGGTAACGGCGGCCGCAGCGTGCTCCCGCGAAGGTGCGACCGCGCCACCGGCGCATCAATCGCCTGTGTACACAACAGTGCCCAAATGCCTGTGCTCAACACAGCGCCACTCGTGTACACATCACAATGCTTCCGTACACCACAACAGCCACGTGCACTGCAGCACCACGTCGCCCATGCACACCGCAGCGCCTGCGTATACTACAGTAACCGTTGTGTATAGTAGGATTTTACAGACAACCATTGCTTATAATAATATATTTAAAGGAAGCCGATGGAAAAATGAAACGCCTCTGGATTCCACAAAACCGAATTATACATAGAATTTAAAGAAAAAGAGTCGCTATGGAAAACGGAGTGCTTGTGGATTCCACAAAAAAATCTTGATAGAGGAATCCCTCTGGAAATTGGGGCGCCTTTGGATTCCACTGAAAACGAACGCTACATCTACGTTTTGAAGGGATCCCTGTGGAAATTGGAGCGCTTGGGGATTCTACACGCTTGCACCACAACGCCTGCGTACACCACAACGCCTGTGTACACCATAGCAACCGCGTGCAACGCAGCGTCGGTGTACACCACAATGCCTGCGTGCACCACAGCGCTTGCGTACACCACAGCGCCTGCGTACACCGCATCAGCCGTGTGCAACGCAGCGCTGGTGTGCACCACGCTGCCTGCGTGAACCACAGCGCCTGCGCGCACCACAGCGCCCGCGGGAGAAGGCGTGGGGCCGCCCAGTCTTCATCTTCTCCATGGCGCTGGGTCTACACTCGATACGTGCAGTAAGGACGGGTGGTAAGGACGCAAGACCTTTGGAAGCCGAAGTTGGGATTGTTTTACAAAAGCTGGCCACTGAAAGCGGCAAAGGACAGGCCGCAAAAGCAAGGACACAAGGGTACCCTGGAGAAGGCGCGCGTCCTTATTAGGCGCGTTCAATATATCGCGCTGCACACCGGCCAGACGGAAGAGAGAGAGTCACCGCAATTTACACTTGCGGAGAAGTGGTCGAACCAGCCTGCGGTAGTTTAGCCATCGCCAGCTGCATTGGGCGACGACGGCGACGAAAACGACGACGAAGACGACGTCGACGACGACGACGATGACGACGACGACGACGGACGACGACGGACGACGACGGACGAAGGACGAAGCACGACGGACGACGGACGACGACGACGACGACGACGACGAGGACGACGACGACTGCGAGCGCAACAACAACTTTCGTGAGCATCAACGCGTGCCGTTCAGACCACGCCATGCCTGTGAACACAGCACCATACCTCAGAGGGGTCCGCTCCCAGCATGTGGGGTGGGGGCCAGGCCCCCCCTCCCCCACGGCACGATCGTTAGCGTTCCCCGGGGGGGGGCCTGGGTAACCAGCGTTACGCCGGAGAGTAAAAAAACAAAAACGCTCACTTTAGGCCCCCCCATTACCACCCGCCCGATTTCGGGCTCGCTCTCCGGGCCCGCAGGACCGTCATAAAACGACTCTGGAAGAAAAACTGGTCCAGAGGGGGAGGCCCCGGGGTCCAGGACCCATTTCCCTCAGGACCCGTTTCCTTCATGCCAGCTGGCCTCGCGGAAGGCGCGCATGAAGCACACCTGGAGGGCAACAAAGCTACACAAGCATGCATAATATGTCAGAGGCATGCGCGGTTTTCTTGAATCGGCGCTCGAGCCCCCCAGGCGGCGCCTCTGGCGCCGCCCCGAGGCGCGCTCCGCGCGCCAAGGCCAGCGCAGATCCGAATCGATCCCAGAAGCCCGCGCGGGCCTCCGACAATTTACGCTTGCGACTTCTTCTTCCTCGGGCACCAGCTCGTCCACCGCAGCGTCGGGCACTGCGTTGTACAGGCAGACGCGGATGCCACCAAAGGCGGGGTGCCCCCCCAGCTGCAGCAGCCCGCGGTCCTGGGCCTCCGCCAGGAACCGCGCCTCGAGCTGCGTCGGCTGCGCGATCGAGGTGATGCTACCGTCCCACTCCCGCAGCATGCCCGCGTCCGCGCCGAAGCGGAAGCAGATGGTGACGCGAGAGCGGTTCGCGTCCGACACGTGGTTCGTATAGAAGCCGCCGGACTCGTCCACTTCGCGGTAGAGGCGCCGCGCGCGCGCCTCAGCTCGCGACTCCAGCGCGGCGAGTGCTCCGGTGCCGCTGGTGCCCCACTGCTCCAAGAGGTGCCTGAGGACCTCCAGGCAGATGCGTCGGGTCGGACGAGTGACGAATGAGGGGGGGGCGTAAAAGGGGGTGGGCAGCGAAGCATCCCACGTAGTCAGCTGGTTTTCCCGGCGCCTCCCGGCGCCGCAGGCACCCAGCGTGTCGAGGAAGGCGCGCGGCGGCGGGGTCGAATCCAGCTGCACGTGCAGCAGACGTCATGCCCCACCCTTTCCCAATCCCCTCCTTTCCCCAGGGTGTCTTCTGAGCCAGTTAAGTTCGGTTCGGCGTCTGAGCCCATTCGGCCGCCGAGTGGACATGGGATTGATATCATTCGGCTGCCGAGCGGGCGAACTTCGCACTGGCCTGTCAGAATTGAGACCGTCCGGCGGCCCTTTCGGCGGCCGAATAGGCTCAGACGCCGAACGAGCTCAGAAGAAAACCCTGCAGTTCGTCCGTCCCGAATGTACAGGGGGAACACTGGCGGCGTGTTCAGGAGGGATGGCACTGGAGCCGTTTGCGAGTAGGCGGTCCAATCGAGGATGCAGGGCGTGTTCGCCCGTGCCCGCCCCAGCAAATCCTTCCGCACCACGACCAAGCACACGCCTGCCGTGCCAAGGTTCTTTCCAGCTGAGCAGTAGATCGCCGCATACCTAGGACAAGGAAGAACGGTAGGAACAAAAACGCTCGAAAGTCTGCGCGGATCTCTTCGATCGGCGCTGGACCCCACCCCTTGGCAGCGCCTCCCGCGATACCCCTGGCGCGATCCACGCACCAGGAGGGGGATCCAGCGCCGACCGACAAAAATCCGCGGCGACCTCCGAACATTTGTGCTTCTGTTGCTTTCTTCTCGCCGAGTGCCTGTCGAAGTTGACCCTCCGGGACAACAAGGTGGAAGTGAAGTCGGCCACGAGCAGCTTGTCGCCCACGTCAGGGTCCTGCAGGAACTCGAGGCCGTAGATCGTGTCGTTTGCGCAGATGTGCACGTACGCCGAATCCTCCGAAAGGTCCCAAGACTCCACTGGGGGAATCTCGCTATGGCACGACGCCTCCGTCGCGGCTGCGATTCTCACCTCGCAGTACTTCGACGCCTCTGGAGGAACAGACAAGACATCATATCTAGATGGCCGAACGTCCTACAGTGTCCGTGGGTGCGTGGCTGAAGTATGGTTCCGCGGTGTCGGTTATTGTTGTGTGCTGTCATTTTGTTGTCGTCGCCCCCGCGACCCACCTCGCGCCGTGCCCTAATACGCACCCCACGACTTGACTACCCAACGACCCACCCGCGACCCACCCGCGACCCACCCGCGAAAACCCGCGATGTTCTCGCGACCCGACAACGGCCCCCCCGCGACCCCCCCGCGACCCACACCCGCGACCCATGGTCGCGACCCCCCCCACCCGCCCACCCACCCATCCCCCCCCCCTACACACACCACACACCCACACACACACACACACACACACAACACACACACACACACACACACACGCACGCACGCACGCACGCACGCACGCAAACACACGCACACACACACACGCACACGCACGCACACGCACACGCACACGCACACGCACACGCACGCGCACGCGCACACACGCACACACGCACACGCACACGCACACGCACACGCACACGCACACGCACACGCACACGCACACGCACACGCACACGCACACACAGACACACACACACACACACACACACACACACACACACACACACACACACACGCACACACGCACGCAATGAGCTAAAGCTGGGCACGCATACGCACATTTTTCGTCGGCGGCGAGGCGGGGCAATCCGCACCTTCGAAAGAGCGAAGCAGGGACACTACCAAGCTAAATGTCCGGCGTGCAAGAGCGGAAGGAGGACAAAAGGGCCGCGGGCGGAAGGGGAGGAGGAGGCGCTCAGAGGCGGAAGAATTCCACCACGAGCGGGCCGGGGCGGCAGCAGCGGCGCAGCGGCGGCGACCAGGGGATCTGGGAGCGCGCGCTGGGCGGGCCAGGGCTGGAGGCGCGTGGCGGGGCAAAGGGAAGCAGTACGAAATTACAGGCGCCCAGGGACAACAACAAGCATAATGCTGCCAAGCATTATTCGCCCAATCGCGCGATGCCAAGCGCACTCGTGCAACTGCGAAGCCAGGCTCGGCAGGGCGTCCGGGGCGGCGCGAGGGGCAGCAGCTGGGCGTCTGGGGCGCGGCTGCGAGCGCCTTAGGGGTCGGGGCGGCGGCAGGACAGCAGGCGGCCGGGGCGCGGGCCACACACACAACCACACACACAACCACACACACAGACACAGACATTGACACAGACACAGACACAGAAACACACACACACACACACACAACACACACACACACACATACACACTACTTTCGAATCGGCGGGGCAGACGGTCCTCAAGCGCGAGCAGCAGATGGAAGTGCGAATTTCGACCGAACGTTGTCGATAGCGCAGCGTACAAGCAGCATCACCGTAGCATGCAAGCCTTCTCCTCCTCATCCTCATTATCCTCCTCCTCCTCCTCCTCCTCCTCCTCCTCCTCCTCCTCCTCCTCCTCCTCACCACCGCGCGGACGAAGACGAGGTCGGGATCACAACCCGCCCAAGTGAAGACTACTCATCGGGATTGTGCTGTTCATACACTCAACCTCCTTCCTGCTGCGTTGTTGCACAGGCACGGGGACATAGGTGGCGACATCCGAACCCTACCCCCACCAACCATCGATTCTCCTGGGTCGATGGGACACGGGGCTAGGGTTCGGATTCTGCCACGTGCTCAACGAATTTCGTATCCTACCCCCGCCGCCCATCGACTTGCCTGCGTCGCTACGACGAGGATGGGGTTCAGATTTCTCTGCCGAACATATTTGTTTGGAGGTCCGCGAGGACCTCTTGGGTCGGCGCTGGACCACCTCCCCCTGGCGCGCGGAGCGCGCCAGGTGCTGCGCCAGGGGCGCCGCCAAGGGGGGCCCAGCTTCGACCCAACAAGCCCACCCAAACCGCAGAAATGTATGCTTGTGCGGCTGTTTGTTCCTCAACGCCTCGGCCATCGCCTTCTGCGACCACACTCCGGTGTCCACGTAGTCTGCGGAGCGCCTCTCCCCCAGCAGGTTCAGCGGCACTGCCGCGAACTGCCCGTGCGCGCCGCCCTGCTGCCATATGATGTCGTAGGAGGCCGGGACCTCCAGGATCGTCCTCCCCGGCACAGGCCCGATCAAGATGGACCAACGGACCCCTCCAGGGCACCATTTGGCGTCGCGCACGCGCGCACGCAGGGGTGGAGCGAGGGAAGCAGCCTGCGGAGAGGGCGGGGGGAAGGCAGGGGCCTCCTTACAAAGGCCCCGCGGCGTCTGAGAAGCCTCTCTAAAATAGGCACATGGGACAAGAAAGCTTGACGTCAGAAATGTGATCCGGCGTGGTCCCTAACTAGAAAGTTGTTGCACTGTGGATGTGCAAACGAGGTGGTGAAGGCTGTGTGGTCCAGCAAACGTGGTGCAACCTTAAGGCGGCAACGAAGCGGCAACGGGCGTCACCAAGCGCACAAGGCGGCAACGAGGCGGCAACGAGGCGGCAACGGGCGACAATATGGCGAAACCTCGCTGGACCCACTCAGCGCACGGGGCGACAACGAGGACTCAACGGCCAGTAACGTGGCGAAACGAAACCTCGCTGGATCCATCCTGCGCACGAGGCGGCAACGAGGAAAACAACGGACGGCAACGTGGCGAAGCCTCGCCAGACCCACCCAGCGCATGAGGCGGCCACAAGGTGGCAACGGGCGACAACGTGGCGAAACTTCGCCAACCCAGGCGGCAACGAGGCGGCAACTTTGCGAAACCTTGCCAGACCCACACGAGGCGGCAACGTTGCGAAACCTTGTCGCACCCAACCAGCGCCCGCGGTGGCAACAAGGCGGCAGCGAGACGAAACCTCGCCGGACCCACCCAGCACACGAGGCGGCAACGAGGCAGCCACGGGCGGCAACGTGGACAATCCTCGCCAGACCCAACACATTCCCCCCAGGCGACAAATAAGAACCTTGTATTTCCCCCCCCGCAACCCAGCGCAACCCCATCCCAGGGCGTCGTGGGTCACACTGCCTGGGCAGCCAGGTGAGAAAAACTGAATGCCACGCGTGGACAGCAGCAGCAAGAGCAGGGAGAGGGAACAGGCGGCACCCTCCCAGTGCGGACCCAGCTCCCCGGCGCACAACCACATTTGCTGTAGAGGTCTCTGCCTGGGGGCCCCTGGCCCCGGTACCCCGTTGTACGCATGGTCGTCGCGCGGTTACGCCTGGAGGACGGAAACAGATACCACTCCACTCTTTTCGTCACGCGGCAACGGCAACCCCTGGGGAGCACAAAACAATGAGGTGAGCTTCTGCTCGCCACATGGCAACGCAACGGGGCGGAGCACATATGATTCTGCTCTACTCATCGCATGGCGGCGCAGAGGGGCCGAAATAAATGCTATTCCACTCTACTCGTCACGTGGCAACGCCTGGGAGGGCCAACAAACATACAAACAATTAGACTCGGTACATGGCAACGCAGCGGGGCGGAAGACAAAACGATTCGACTCTTGCTCGTCGCATGGCACCGCAGAGCCTGGCGGGTGAAGCAAAGACTACTCCACTCGACTCGTCGCGTGGCAACGCCTAGGGGGCGAATGACACATACTAACTATTCTCTTCGATCCGCCACATGTCAACGCAGCAGTGCGGACAACTGCAACTATTCCACTTCACTCGTCACGTGGCAACACCGGTGGGGAGGAACAAAACAACTATACTCTATTCTGTCCGTTACGGGGCAACGCCTGAGAACCGAACAAAAACAGTACTCCACTCTGCTCGTCATGCTGCAACGCCTGGGGGGAACAGATGCTGCTCCACTCCGCTCGTCATGTGGCAACGCCTGGGGGGCCAAACAGAAACATGACATTCTCTTCTACTCGCCGCGTGACAGCGCCGAGGGGCGCAACACGAGTACGCCTCCTGCTCGCCACGCGGCCTCGCAGCGGGCACCGCGTGGCAACGCGAGCGGAGCTCCGCGTGGGCCCAAGAGACGCCACAGGGGCGCGCCGAAAGGGTGCGGAGATTGTGCGAGGCTGGCATGCGGACCCTGCCGCTGGAGCCTTCTGTGAAGCTCCCTGCGGGGCCACGAAGCACACGACGGGTGTGCCGACATGGAGCGGGGCCACCGTGCGGACCCTGCCTCTGAATCCTTCGGCGGAACTCCCTGTGAGGCCACAAAACGCGAGAGCGGCTTGCCGAAATAAGGGCTGGGCCGTCATGCGACCATGCCAATGAGCCCACGGCTCAACCCCGTCAACGGCAACAAACGTGTGGGGGTGTGCCGAAATGAAGCGAGGCGGGCATGCAGACCTTGCCCCTCAGGCTTTCGGTGGAACCTCCTATGAGGCCACGAAGCGTCTGAGTGGTGCGCCGGCATAAGCCAGAGGAGGAGCAGGAGGAGGAGGAGGAGGAGGAGGAGGAGAGAGGAGGAGGAGGAGGAGGAGAGGAGGAGGAGGAGAGGAGGAGGAGAGAGGGAGGAGGAGAGGGAGGAGTTTATAGGAGAGAAAGGAGGAGGTAGGGAGGGGGGGGTGGGGGAGGGGGGGGGGGGGAGGAGGGAGGGAGGGAGGGGGGGGGGGGGGGGGTCCAGATGGAGTCAATTCGAAGGGGGGGGGGGGGGGGGGAAGGGGGGGGGGGGGGGGGGGTGGGGGGGGGGGGGGGGGGGGGGGGGGGGGGAGGGGAGAGCACAAGGATGAGAACGTCCCTTCCCGAGCGCCACAAGGTTGCTTTTGCTTAGGATGCCCTTTGCCGGATGGAGTGCCTTGGTCGTTTCTGGTAATAGTGGCTTCTGTCCGGGTTTGGGGTTCAGGTCCCTATTTAAAGGGCCCGTGCCTCCAAGGTTCGGCGCGCATTCCTGTGTCCGTGCGCGCCTCAGAAACCAACAAGGAAGGGGGCCAGGCAGTAGAGTCTTAAGACCATAGATTCAGCAGGGCCTGCCAAGAGGGCCGCACTCTCTCGCCAACCCCCTGTATTCGCCGCCAGCTATCATGGCCCGTTTCCCGAGCCGCGGGAGGCCGCGGCAACGAGGTGGGCTCGACCGAAGGACCAAAGCAAGAGGCCGAGACCTCCGATGTCGTATTTGTTTCTGTGGTCTCGGGGGCGAGGATATCGTGACCTCCGACCCAGACGACGAGGGGACTTCGGATCTCAAGCCCTGATGGCCGGGTCCCGGCGAGGAAAGCAACGGACCGACAAATGAAGCTCGCTGATGAACGTGTCACGAAACGCCGCTGAGATGCTCAGCTAAGCTGGCGCGCCGCCTCCAAAGTTTGGAGGGGACCTCAGTGGCTTCACTGGCACCAACAGACTTAACACCCACCCCTGTGGACAAAAGCTTACAACTTGCCCATGGAAGCTCCTGACGGCGAACGTCGCGTCCTGGATCATCCGCTGCACCGGCCCGCCCGCGTCCCTGTGGCTCATCTCCATGATGCTCAGGCCAGTGCCTGGGGTCAGCCCCCGCGCCCTCGCGCCCCCGACGCCACCGACCAGCACGCTTGAATGAGGAGCAGGATTTGGAGACGGAGCTCCATGATCAGGAGAACAATGACTAGAAGGAGGGGTAGCAACATGGAGAGAGTGCAGCAGAGGTGTACGGAGGATGAGAGCCTGTAGGGGCACGGGCAGCTGCAGCATGTTCAAAGGGAAGCTGATTGCTGTTGCTTCTCGTCCGCCTTCGCCATCTCCTCCCCCTACTCATCCTTTCAGTGTTCCTATGTTCTTCCTTCACTTTCTGAAGTACTTGGTGGCGTGCGCAGAGAAGGCGACGAGGACGACGAAGACGACGGCGATCACGACGACGAAAACGAAAACCACGACACGGATCACGAGAAGAAACACAGAAGGAAGAGCAAGAGGAGGAAACCAGAAAAGCACCCCAGAACCCCCCACCCTCGAGAACCCAGGCCCTATTTTTCACCACCTCGGGGCCCAGGGACGCCCCCGAGGCAGAAAATTGCGAAAAACTTTCTAGACTTGTTCAGTACTCTGGAGGTCTGGGCCCGAAACAGAGCCGACGGCGACGGCGGCCGGCGCCCCAGGAGAGCCCAGCATCGAATCGATAAGTCGGATCGGCGATCGAAACGAATCAGATCGGCGGAAATCGGCAGCCAAGTCGGGAGAAGTCGAGTCGGCAGAGATCGGCAGGCTAGCCAGGCCTCCGCTGAGACACCGACATCCAGATCGGAACCCAAAGTCGAAGCGCACCAGAGTCGGAGTCGAGCGAAGCCGAACCGAACCGAGCTGGAGGAGTCGACCGAACCGAGCCCTGCGACGGCGACGGCGGCCGGCGCCCTCGAAGTCGGCCAGCTGCTCCGCGACTCGGTGCAGCAGCTCGACGGGCAGTGCGGCGGGGCCCGCGCAGAAGTTGAACGGCCGCGCCGCGGCCTGCCGGGCGGCTCCCTCTCAAGGCCCCCCTCGGGCCCTCCTCGGCCTTCGGTGCTCCCTCGGGCCCTGGCGGCGCGAGGCAAGGCATCGCGATGCTGAGCTTCGCGCGTCGCTTCTCCTGCCCCTCGCAGGGCCGCGTTCTGGCCCCAGGACGAACAAGAAAGCGGCTCGACGAGACGAGGGGCCGGTCCCGGGGGAATGGGCCGAGATCGCCAGGAGGGCAGGTCACGGGTCACGAGCGCGGATGCAACTTGATCCTGCTCGCCCTCCTCGCCCTCCTCGCCCTCCCATTCGCGATCGGATCCCCCACATCCATGCACCACAAAAAATCGAACCGGCCGGGTTGTCGCCGTTTTTTGCATCTGCAGGCCAATTTCGGGCCTCGGGACGGTCAACTAAACTATTTGGGATGGAAAACCGGCCTTGGGGAAGGGGTCGAGAGTTCTCCTACAAATTGGTAGTTCGAGGATCCCCAGCACGATGGAGACGGGTCCCGAGGAAAAAGGGTCCAGCACTCCCCAGGTCCTGGGACCGTCGGACGACTCGGAGTGAAAAGCTGGTTCTGGAAATCCCCCGGAGTCTGTTTGCTTCATGGCGACCCTCAGGATCACTTTTTGGGATGAAAGCAGCGATCGAAGCCTAGATCCATGCCCCTGCCAGGCCTCCGCTGGAAAGAATGGCGAAATCGGATCGGATCGGTAACGGACCGCAGCGCGGCTGAAGCCTCGCTGAATCGGGCCGCTTGGAATCCTTGATCGGGCTCGCCCCAAGCCGGAGAGAGACTCGGCTCGCGTCAGATCGGGTCAAAGCCGAGAGCGAGATGCGGGGATCGGATCGGATCGGATCGGACCGCGAGCGGCCCTGCCTGCTTACGCCAGAACTCTGCGAGGGGTTTGAGTGGCACGTCTCGTTCTCTGAAGGCTGAGCTCCTGGTCCGTACCCTCCTCATCCCAGCGCCCAGAGCGGGCGGCAGAAGAAGGGGTATGGATGGAACGTCGATCGCCGAGGTTCGAAGGTCAAACATCGATGGTTCGAGGATCCCTCGGATCCGGGCGTCGCAGAAAAGTCTTGTCGGCTGGCTTGTCGACGCTTCGGCCTCCCCGATGCCACCTTCCCGGCCCCAGGACCAGCAAGACACCGCTCAGTGAGAGGGCTCTACCTGGCTTTTCGCTCGATTCGGACCCTCTGGGGCGCCCTTGTGGCCACGGCTGGATCCGCCTACAGAGTCTGGCCAGGGCGCACCCCAGGATAGGCCCACGGGCCGAGGGGGCGGCATCGAGCCCGTTCGCCTCACGGAGGCTCTCGTCACGAAGGCTGCATCTGCCTCTAAACCCAGGCCAAAGCGCACCCCCATCAGAGGCCTGGCAGTCGGGCGCTCCGTTTGCTGCTTCACAGTCGTGGGGCGCTTCGTGCTCCTTGCATGTTGTCCAGCAAATGCATTGTCTTCCGCCGCCCGGCATTGACCTACGCTCAGTGTCTGTTTTCCGGCGCGCTTGCATTCGCGAGGCAGTATTTCACATTTGTCCTTGGCCTTCGCATCATGTGGATGTTCTGCCGATGCGCCGTCTAGGCGCGGCTTCTTGCGTGCGTCTTGCATACAGAACCTCTCGCGTCGTGAAGAAGTCACAACGGACGCTTCCGTTGCATGTGCCTGCCTCTAGGGCCCTTGCCAGGCCCAGGGATCAGCAAGACAACTCCTGATGAGAAGCCGATCCCGGGGAAGGGGTCGAGACGTCCTGGGGTCGACATAAGAAGCAAGCACACGACGTCAGGGGTTCTGGGATCGGAGATAGAGGATCCTGACTATGCCATCTGACTTCACACATCGTGCCCCGCAGGTTCAAGTCGCGAATACGTCGGCGTTGGTTGCTGACACCGCGTGGATCGTTCGACCTAGAATGAGCGCGGCTTTCTGGTAGCGTTCGATGCTGGCCGAATCCATGCCCGTGGCGGCGTTCAACCCTGAACGTCCGCGCTGTGGTGGTCGCCACCGCATCAACGTTGCGCGAACCTATCCGAAGGCAGGGTCAAACAGCATAGAATCAGGGGGGATCGAATCGAAATGCTCATCGTCACCGAGGACAACCCTTTGGAGCCACCACGGCCCCCCAAATAGCCGCCGAATTCCGAAGGAGTTGCGCGACAATTTTTTCTTGTTTGAAAGCATGCAGTGCTGGGCGCGTAGGCCAGCCTGTAATGCCCCCTGACGAGCATCCATGCTGAACCAAACATTACCGCGGCCTTCGCCATCATAACCGCCAAAACCACAAGATAACAAATGTTACAATCATCGTCGGGCTGAGGTCAGGTCAGTCTGCGTCGCCGCGCATCGACTCTTTACCGAAGCTGAGCGCCGCGAGCTCCCAGCAGCATTCGTCGACAGCTGTCAAGAGCAAAACCGCCGAAATGGTCCTTAAAAGGGCCGCCAGGAGAGCCGCCGAAAGGGCCGCCGAAATCATCGCCGAAATCGCCGCCGAAATTGCCGCCGAAATTGTCGCCGAAATTGCCGCCGAAATCGCCGCCGAAATTGCCGCCGAAATTGCCGCCGAACTTGCCGCCGAAATTGCCGCCGAAATTGCCGCCGAAATGATTGCGAACTCCGCCAAAATAGCCGCCGGAATTCAGCCGCCGAAATCGCCGCCGAAATTCAGCCGCCGAAATTTTCATTGCCCCGTCGCAAGCGAAATCGCTGTTCCAGTAAGCGCGATGACGCCGCAGACACAGGCATAGAGTCACAGCCAAGGTCAAATTCGGTCTTTTCTCGGCGGAACCATCTGGAATTTCGGCGGCAATTTCGGCGGCAATTTCGGCGGCAATTTCGGCGGCGATTTCGGCGGCAATTTCGGCGGCAATTTCGGCGGCAATTCTGGCGGCCCTTCCGACGGCTCTTTCGGCGGCTCCTTCGGCGGCAATCTCGGCGGCCTTTTCGACGGCTCTTTCGGCGACTATTTCGGCGACGTTGATTTTGCCAACTGTCGACAATGGCTGCCGGAAGCTCGCGGCACTCGGCGACCCCGGCGGGCCCTGAGAGGGCCCCCGAAGGGCCTCGCCAGAAAGCGTCTGCGAAGTAGCTCAAGCCATGCGTGATTTGCACGCGATAGCATGCGCAACGTGCAATGTGAATGCCTCGCATTATACGTCAGCGCGCTCTAAGGTGCGTCTGGGAACCACCGCGCGGCAGGGCGCGCCTGCACACTGAAACTCTAAGAAAAACCTCAATTTCGTCTGGGATGGATTTCGGCGCGCGCCCCTTTTCGTCTCCAAAGAAAGAGCCACTATGATCGTCGGATCGGGTCGTATCGGCAAGCAGTCGGAATCGGATCGATTCGGCCACGCTAAGGTTCACCATGCAAGCATCGGGCCGCATCGGATCGACGGAATGTCGGAATCGCATCGGATTGGACCGGTCGGTATCGATATCGAGTCGGATCGATCCGATCGAAGTGAGCCCTGGACGATACGCGACGCGCGGTTTTCTCCGCGCCCTTGCGCTACAACCCTGGCCTTTGATCATCTTTGATCCATGTCGGAGCCCTTGAGAATCTCTAGGCCTCGTGGGGGGTGCCCTGGAGGCTGCGGGAGCCTCCTTCAAAATCCTGGGGGCACCTTTGGCAAGACCCGCCAGGAAAGCCTGAGTTGACTGTTCTTCAATCCACTCCGAAACCCTCCAGAGTCCTCTACAAGCCCTCTGGGGACCCCAGGCATCCCCAGGCATCCGGCCTCCTCTTTCGATCGCTGCTTTCCCCCCCAGGAGGCGTCCAGAGACTCGGTGACGCCTCTTTTTGGGCAACCGCTGTCCACGGGGGAACCACGGCGCGTCGTGAGACGAATCACAACAGCTGGGCGTCCCGTCGCCCCGTCTCGGGCCCAGGGGCTCACGCGGAGAGCGACCTGGCCCGAGGAACCCGCCGCGGGAAGATGGGGGCAGAGGCTTCTGCCGTGTTTTCGCCATAGCGCACTTGAACGCACCTCCCGCTGCGGAGGTATGAGTGCGGAAAACGTGTTATGTTGTTCTCCACTGGGGTACTAAAGTGCTCTATGCCTGGCGTGTCGAGGTGATCATGCGGCACTGAACAAAGACGACTCGCCCACCTCCTAAAAACGCGAGCCGCTCGAGACATCCCCACAAGCTCAGCGCGAATGGGAAAATGAAATACCTCCTGGCGGCTCCCCTTGAGGCACACAAGTGCTACGCCAGCTAGAGCGCGGCGATCATGCGGCCCAAAAGGGAGACATGCTGTGGGCACGACGGGTTCAGGCGGCCATCGCAAGATGTACTGAATGGGATGCCTTTGCACTCAACGCACACAGAATGGCTTGAGCCAAAGCGTCAGTCACGGCGCTGTGCACAAGCAAGCATACAACAGACACAAACACAGAAAAGCACGGATAGTCAGGACGAGAGGGAGCCATATGATTCCACAGCTCCCCCCACTTACTGTCGACCTGACTCCTCGAGGCGGCGCTCGCGATCCTGTAGATAGCGGCGGCTGGCCTCTCGACTGCGCCGGCCCTTCTCGCCACCAGCCAGGAGGTGAGCCCTCTCCGACTCAGCATCACTCAACGTCAAAGTCCCACGGCGAATCATGTGACCCATGGCATCGGACCCCTTGGACACATCAGCCTTGGTCATCACATCAGTGGGATTGAGTAGGTGAGGAAACCACTTCACGCACGAGCCTCGCTGGGAGAAAGAGTCACGAGCAATTGCGAGGTCCACGGAAGTCCTGCGGTCCTCCTTCCGGCCAGCACAGTTCTTGGAGAGACAGTCGAAGATGGACTTGGCGTCCGTGGCATGAACTCCAGGCAAGGGTCGGTGCAGCTCGCAGTTGTCACGTAGCACCGACACGTAGGGGCCTGCGTGCTGTCGCCAGTCGGCAGTAGGAACGTCCCCAAAGCAAGCGTCACGAAGTAGCAGCTGGATCCAGTCGGCTTCTCCAAGAGACTGGCAGAGAGAGTTGGCCTCACCGGCCAGGGATGAGTTGGCAGCTCGACGCATCTTGGAGGATCTCCAGGAAAGCATCGTCACCTTGCTGGTCAGTCCGGCGGCCAGCTGAGGGTCAGCCACTCCCACAGCCCAGGCACACTGTATGGGTGAGTCCGTGCCAATCCCCGCCGCGTCGCTCAAAGTAAAACTCACCACCTGCGATAGGTCGTGGCGCCAGATGGTCAGGTACTGCGAGGCGGTGTCACGCAGCATCTGGACGGCCCGATTGAAAACAACGATGTCCTCCACCACCGCCTGCTCCAGCTTGCTGGCGAGTATGGAAGCCGTGCCCGCCACCTCGGGACGGGTCTCCTTCGCCACCCAGTTGATCCGGTAGATGCCGGATCGGAGCTGCTCGAACTCTGAGCGGCTCAGAGGCTCTTGTCTCTTGGAGCGGCGGCCCTTCTCCAAGACAATCGGATGAATCTCCTCCAATATGTATTTCTCTTGGTCCAGGCGAATGCGGTGAGCCTCCTTCCTGATGCGGCGTCCTGCAAACTCGGCCTCGTCGCCTCTCCACTTGCCGAAAGTGAACCTGGCCTTAAGAGAGTCGGCCAACCACTTCGTGTGAGAGGTAACTGTACCCAGCCAAAGGTCGTCCACCTCTATCAGGACCTGAGCCTTCAGGGCGCCCTGTTCCCGGAGAGTCCAGTAGCATGGCTCCATCAGCAACTTCTTGAAGCCAAGGTCGCGTAGGTAGGAGGTGATCGTGGCGTGCCATTCCCAAGGGGCGTCGTCTAGACCATAGACGGCGACATGTAGCTCAATAAGGCACCCGTCGGGAACGTGAATGCCAGTGAGCCCCTCACAGGGAGCCACGTAGATGGGTCCACCAGCCCTGCGGAGTCGCCTCGACTGACTGAATGCGTTCTTGCAGTCCACTATACTCTGGTCCATGCCATGGCCTAAGAGTACCAGCCCGAAAAGCATCATGGCCTCAGACTGAGGCGTCGGAGAATACGTCACTAGATGCTCAGTGTCAGGATCTGCAAAACCGTGCACGCACCATCTGCTCTTGGCCTTTGGGGCACTAAACGTACCCTCCTGGGCCTTCCATCGTCGTACCATCCTGAACGATAGCACCCGCTCTGGCCGGGTGCGAAGCACATGAGTGGACTCCTCCTTGCTGAGGATCCGCAGCACGTTAGGCTTGTTGAGTACACCCCACTCGGCCTCGTCCGATCGTCGGAAATCCTCGAGCTCCTGGGCCGAGAGATCCTTGAGCTTGACCTCCCCACCGCGTGAGGAGAGCAGAGACCACTGCCCGGCGCTGTCCTCTGAGCACTCGAAGATCAGATCCTTCCGGCCGTTCATGTAGGTCTCGACGTCCCCGCTCCAGCCGGAGTCCTCGAACCAAGAGTCCAGCA